GATGGTCGCGAATTCGTTAATGACTTTGAAAATAGAATATCAGATACAGGATATTATATATTCCATATCTCTTCTATATACTCTATATTCAATTGTTTATGACAGACATATCAAAGCGAACACCAAGAGGGAAAAACTCGTTACGTCCAAAAATGAAAGAATCGGGAAAATCGTGATTGTAGTTTACGTAACTCTCGGGGGCATTAACAGTAGTTTAAACATTCGGCGAAAATATGTATCTTGGAGTTTAATATATCAAGTTTGAGAATCAGGTGAAAAAAAGGTTACGCTGGTAACCGTTTTATTCAGAAACAAACAATAACGGATATTTATCTAAAACGGTCGATTATAACGATTTCTCGATCGCAGAAATCGATTCCTTGCCTCTTTTTGCGTTAGATGCCGTTTCAATTTCGATCAAAATTGGTCGTAACGAGTTTCTCCCTCTTGGTCTTCGAGAAAGAATAAATTTCTTAATAAATCATAAAAAAAAAAAAAATATATAAAACTCAACGCGATCGCATGTTCTGTTCCTGTTAAAATGACGAGAGATGGGATAAGTAACTGATAAATTAGCACAATTTCTCCCGCTCCCGTGCCCCGCTAACTTTCGCACCGAAAAGCGCGGCGTGTTGCCAAGAAAGCGTGAGAAGCAGACGTGTACGCGCGAAACCGAGAATTCCTTGTTTGAGATTTTCTTCGTAACCCACATTCGTCTATTAGGAGGTTCTCGTTCGCCGACCGTCCTCACCTTCGGTGCCCCGAGCCGCGTCTTCCTTCTCTTTGTTTCGCAATGGTATGCAAACTATGCACCGTTTCAAGGACTGCCGAGTACTCTCGGAAGAAATTAGCGACGCGGTTGGCAACCACAGGGCGAGCCCCGTAAAACTGCGTTGCGCACTCTTTCCACGAAAATTACGCCGACTAACGGGGAAAATTCTAATTCGGAATTCTGCCACGGTAAAGTCTGTTACGCGGGCTTTCGCGGCGGTAAATAAAAACAAATTGTGCATTCGCGTAACGGGTTTATAATAGCTCGAAGTGGAAAAGAAAATTTGGAATAGTTCTGTTGGGTCACATTTCCAGAAATTACTTAAAAGTTCGGAAGAAAAAGGAGGGATGTCGGAGGGGCCGTCAGGGCTCTCTAGGGGTTAGAAATGTAACGACATGCCATTTGTCTTGTAAACGACCTCGAGGGTACCCTAAAATACTTAACCGGAGTTTTATCATTACCCCCAACGGTTTCTGGGAAAACAGTTTGAAACGCTACACTTTGTAAGTACGGTCCACGCCTTATTGAATTCTTGGAATAAACGCTGTCGTTCCAATGTTGTGTACGTTGGAATAGTCAGCCATAAAATGGATTATGTTTATTTCTTGGAAATAACGCGGACAGTTTATAGCGTGGCAAAATTGGTCAAGTTGGCCAATTGATCCGGGCCACTGCACGCGTTATTTATACCTATCTTGGCAATGATTAGTTCAATAGGGACTTCCTCCGTATTACCTGTGACCTCTTTTGTTCCAGTTCTGCCATTTTACTATTGGAACGAGCGCTCATTACGAAAGAGTTACCACGATTCTTCGTATGGGAATACAATCTATAATCGTTCGGGCCCGCTCGATTCGCACCGTCGTTTGCGCGAGAACAAAGGATAGATTTCTTCGATCTTTCCATCCTGTGAATTGCATCCTTTAAGCGTGTTCAGCGTACCGATACGCGAAACGATGCCACGGTACCATATTTCTACGAGCGATTGAAAAGTCGATTCTCCCGAATATGGATCGCTCGAAAAACGACTGCGTTTTAAACACGCCAAAAAATAGTACGCTAGAAATGTCGAACACCTTCGAAAACCGAACAAAGAAATTACTTTCACGATCGCGTAGGAGTTACGTGCTTATTCCAAGCTACTAACGGAGAATCCAGAAGCGTGTACCGGAAGTGGAGGCGTCGGTAACACTTGACAATCGCAACTGATAAATTACATGAAATGCGATCGTCCCATGGGGATGTCTAAAAATAACCGAAGAAGCGCAGCCGTCGGGGAAGACCCAAAATTTACGTGATACCGATTCTCGAAGAGACGGAACGATAAAAAAACAACTCCACGATTTCGTTAGAATTAATTTCGTTGTGTCTCGGTACGCCGTTACTTTTATCAGAAGAGCGTACGGTGGTGTTTTTGCTATGTAGAAAAAGAAATCCTAGCTACGACTGTTACGCTATCTAAAAACGCACGTAGAGGCAGAAAATTCGGTCGAAAGCATCGGGCTCCTAAAATCTGCTTCTCGAGCCCTCTACAAACATTATCTGGTTCCGTTTCAGGGGGAAAAGCGTTATGTTCAACAGATGTCGTAGAGGAAGACACCGCGACAAAGAATCCCCCGGATGAAAAAGAACACCGCTAGCGACGGGGTTAGACGAGAGCTGTCCCGAAAATGTTAAAAAGTAGAGGAAGACCACCATGGGATCGAATTCCATTCGTTCCGACCGACACAGTCCACGCTACCAAGAAATTCTCTTTTACGTTTTGTACATCACGGAACGCGATAAAGCCATATCGGTAAGGTCGACTAATCTCTGTTAGTTTCTAAGGAGACAGCGTAAAAAAACGTCGTGCATATATTTCGTTCGTACGCGACGATCGTCATCTCTCGGTGCAAGGTGTAAATAAACGAATGGAAATAGGCGCGTAAACAGATGCGTAAACAAACGAGAAGATATACGGCGGCCATGGCTCTTGAAAATAAAAAAAGTTCACGCTGAAAAGAATAAACACGCAAGCCGGTAACCTTGTCACGGAACTTTCTTAGTACGAATTTGAAACGCATCGAATTTGCCCGATTTTCAGTACTCGAATCTCGTTAAAGAAAATGTTTGGAGCACGGAAGAGAATAGGAGAAAGCGCGCGACGCGCGTTCATTTTCGCCGAGATATCGATTCAAGCACTGTTTCCGAGCTAGCAACACACGGTTAAACGAACCGCGAACTCTCGGTTGACGCGCGAATCCCATTCGAACGAGTCCCGACGTGTCTGAAGCCTGTACAGGTCTTGTACGTCCTTCCATCCCTCCGAAAACGAAACGGAACGACGGCGCAGGATCAAGGCTCACGAGGGCATATTGCTCTGTTCAACTTGGAAGCCCTCCAATGGGCTTCCCTTGCTCGCTCCCCACGCGACACCATTGGAAACCCGTTTTAAAAGTCCGTCGGAATGCACGCGCGCCGCCGGGCCTTTCACCTCTTTCGCGAAAAAATTGATTTTTACTTTCCCGACTTGTTAATCGAACGCAACCGAGAAACACTGCTATCGATCGAGATTTCATCTTTGCTGTACGTTTCGCAATGTCTCGGTGGTGGCCCGAGCCGGAAAATCCAAAAAGGGAATAGTTCAGAAACGATATCTCGTGACATTTGATATGTTAACGTGCGTATGTAGGGCGGCATCGATATCGTCAAATTTTTGAAAAAATTTGACAAGGGTCCGGGTGATATTTACACAAGGAGTGCCACGTTTTATCTGAGAAATGGTTTATCGGAATATTATGAGTGAGTCCTCTATGAAGGGAGTGCTATATATTATCTCTAGAACGGTTTATCGGAATATCAAAAAACTTTGGTGAGATGACCTCTGTACATGAAATAACCATGTAATTTTGGAAATAATAACAAAGTTTTTATAGAACCAAACACGATCGTATTCTCCTTTTTAAATATACTTTAGAGATAATCAATTTACGTTCGTTTCACAGTCCACTGTTTCGGAGGAACAATAATCGACGGACTAATTTGATATCCTAGAGATTATTGTTGAGAGCACACATATCGCATAATGGGCCGAGATACGGGTTTATTTAGCTATTACGTGCGCGCGATTACGCGCTTAAACTTTGTCCCATCGCAAGTGTCGAGGGTACGTTATCACCACCGTTTGTCTAAAACCCCCGGATGTAAACACCACGTTTCTATAAATATTTGCGTCCAAGATCCGAGGTAGGCTACCGACGGATTACGTCCGTTAATGGTATACAAGAGATACAGTCAAACCAAGAACGCCCTAATCGTTAAATTACAATAATTAATACAATTCGCAAATTATAAATTGAAAACATTCACGCATTCCATACTAAGATGATTCTAAAAACGTGCAATTTAACCCTCTGAAATCCTACATGCCGTGAGTCACGTACCCACTGTCTACATTTTTCAAGTTTGTAATCCAGTCTATCGCCGATATGCATGATTTACAATCTATTTACAACGATTTTATCATTTCTATAATTTCACTAGACTCGATACGAAAATCTGCGTATATTCTCTAATGCGTATACATTCGATTCATTTTCGAATGTAGAGTTAAGAATTTAACAGAAATCAATATCGTACCGAAGGGTATATTCAAATTCACGTAGAAAGTCGTTCGTCATGCGAGAGCATACGGTTGATTACTTTCGCGAAGCGAATTCTTTCACGACCGAAAAGAAATTCCACTCGCCATATAAAGTACCGAGAAGCAATTCGAGGCGGTGTTGGGAACGCATTTAAACATTACTCTGGCCGCACAAAGGTTGACAAGAGTCGCCATTTTGAAATAATCGGCAAAGGATCCACCTCCTGTTTCTTTCTACGAGTTTATCGGGCTTCGAGTCTCGCTGGGATCGCGTATGCCTCTTTCTTAGCGTATCGAGAAGACTAGATTTCGATTAGATGTTGCTTAGGATCGTAAAGCCGAAGGGACGCGCTTAGTTACCCGGAAGAAACGCGACGCCTAGGGTACAATCTCGGGAGCATTGTACTCATCGATCTCCCGTTTTCTCCCCGTTACGAGTTTGAAAATTCGTACGGTCCGAAAGCAACGTCGGGCAAAATTCTTATCGAGATAAACGTTGTCCGCTGACGGATACGAGATAAACAATGTTTAACAGAAATTACGATGTTAATTATAGAATCGAATCGAAGAAAATTTCGCATTCGGAACAAGTGAAAGAAAAATTACCTCGTATTTGATGCCGTTGAGTCGCAACCACGTCTCCACTTTGAGACAATACGCCGAGAGGGAGGGCAGAAGCGGTGTTCGAGAGAACTGATACAGATAAACAGTGTCCTTCTCGAAGTTGGTTTTATGCACGCTGATGGCCTTCGTCGGTGCCGAGGATGCCGCGGCGGCCGCGGCGTCGGCTGTCTCCTCTTTTTTCCCACTTTCTTCCTTCTTCGCCGCATCCTTCTCCTCTTGCTTATTGTCCGGCGTCGTTTCGTTCTTCAGCACCTCTTTCATCTCTTTCACGTCCTTAATCTCCTTGCTCTCCGGCCCGGTGTTCTCCGTCTCCGTTGCCATCGTCATCTCTACTAGTTTTTAAACACAGGCTCAACCGGGGGTTTCCAGTGAAAAACGAAACGTTTCCCTCGTGCGGACCAACGAAACGTCAAAGGACAACTTCTCGAGCGACACTAAGAGCCTATCTCGAAGACAGCGCGCACAACACAAACGTACGCCGGGTACTCGTCGATCCCTCTGCTCGCCGGCCGGTTCCTTCTCGTCGTTGCCCCGTTCTGTCTGCAGCTCCTTTCCCCCCAGTCCATAGAAACCCGTGCGCATGCGCAAGCGCCACACCCCACTGCTGTCGCCATATTTAATTGGTCCACCACCCCTGGCCTGGTCCGCGTGCCGCTCGTTCTCTCTGTCTATGGTTTTCCTCAGGGACGACTACAAAGTCGATCGCACCACCGCGAAACTTTCAATTCCTAACGCTGCGCAAATTTACATATAAACGAAACTTAAACTTTCGCGTTTAAAGTTGTATATATCGATATAATTAACATTTTATTACGCGATACTACGACGCAAACTACCGTCATGTCTGGACATGGACTTATTGGAAATTTACTTTTTTTGTTTGAAAATTGATAAGAAACACATCAGTTTTTACGATAAGGTATAATCAAATCTAACAGGATTTTCTTTCGTTAGTAAAAAGGGTTTGTTTCTTTCTTGTTGTAGCGCACCGACGTGTATCATCGTTTCCTTCCACTTAAATCCGAGCCTGGTTTCTGCCTTTCTTTCTCCCCCCTTAGTCTCGTTTGCTCGCCCCCTTCCTCTCGTGAACCCCCATATAACCAGGGTCCTTCCACTTCGTCGTGGTTAGTAATATCGCCTGGCAACACTGCCGCCACCGCCACCTCAAGAGGGCCGACAAACTCGCAACTATGAGCAGTAAGACCCCGCTTACATTGTATACATATATACATTCATGTATTTTCGAGCACTAAAATGGGTCTTTCCAACCTTACATCGGTAGGTACATGTATAAAAACAGTTTTAAAGATGAAAATCATATCTCGACGAATCGATTGTAATCGCCCACTTCTGCGTGGCTGTACGACGAATTTTATATATCATACTGTTTAAACTACATTTATTTACCGCTAAACGCAACATACTTCGTACAGAATACAACGGGGGTATCGGTTTTATTTAAATGCGCAGTGTTGTACTCTTTACGACCGGTAAATTGTAGTCTGGTAATAAATTATAATCGGTGTTCTTACGAACATTACTTTCATCCATAATGTATGCATCGAGATCGTTGCTCCGGTATTTAAAACTTATTCGAATTACGATTTCGTGACCATCGAGAACCCCATCGCAGGGCCCCGTAACGTCGTAGTTTCGGTACTGAACAACCCGGCCAGCTGCTCTTCTCTCTCGCACGGAACTGGCAACACCGCGCCAGACCGGCGTAACAGCGAACCCCCTTTTCACGAATTACTTTTTTCCACTCTGCCCGATGGACTCCATTTGGAAAACTACCTGCCGCAACTTGCGCCGCCCATGGGCGCAAACTCTCCACCAAATCACTCGATAGTCCCGTTCTTTGCTTTTGTCTTTACGTACGACGATCCCTTGCTTCCCCCAACGCTTCGTCCTTTGAGCTCTCCTTGCTCCTTCGGTATATTGTTCCGAGATTAAGTCTATAAGGAGGATTACACTTTCGCGTGGTTAATGCTTCTCTGGGAGGAGGGGGATAGGGTTACCAATCAAAATGTCCATAATTCCGGGAACGATGAAAAAATATAATACTCGCTAATGTAGCGATGCTGTAAATACGTAATATTTACGTCTCTCTCTCTCTCTCTCTCTCTCTCTCTCTCTCTCTCTCTCTCTCTCTCTCTCTCTCTCTCTCTCTCTCTCTCTCTCTCCTCTCTCTGTGATACACGCACGCACAGGCACATACACGCGCGGGAAGAAGATAAAAGCCTTAAAAGTGAATAAAAATTTATTTACTCCTGATGTTATAATATTCCCCACAATGTTCATGACAAATTTATATCGTTGTCCATAGTGTGCGCGTTATACGTCGAAAAATCTTGTATACAACAATCAGAAATCGCTAACAAATAATCCGTCTACGTATTCTTTCACATGGGATTACAATAAATTGGCGGTAAGCGTAAATACAATATGTATGCTTACTTCGAAAGGATTCGAATAACAAGATACTGAAATATTCAGATATACCGTCGTTGCTTCGTAAAGTCTTTGAACGAATCCGCTTTAAAGAGTTTGACGGTAGTTTCTTAAAATAGAAATGCGTAGAAAGGGACAAACAATGTGATACGATACAACTCGTGGACTAGTATACTTTCGTGCTAAGAAAAACGTTCCGTACGTCTCCGAACAATTTGACTCTACCTCTTTCGGCTGAAAGTGGCAATCCGGCAATTGTCAGCGACGAAACAAACGATATATCGACATCGATCAAGTCTCTACTTTATAGTGACTGATATAGTTAGGGGTGGCCAATAAATTCCCGGGTAAATTGAAACTCCGATAGTTTTAGACAATCGTTGTTAAATACCTACGTAAATTACCGGAGTTAAAAATTGCATTCTCTCTGGGCAAAGTTCTAATGAAAAAGTTACGCCATGAACATTGAAGCATATAGGTGGAATTAAACGATTACTTTTTTCTTTCCAATTACCGAAAACCAATTACCGTACAACACGGTTGTTCAGAAAGCTTATTCCAAGGGTTATGTATAAGTATCTCCGTTAGAATAAATTTGTCCAAGGGTAAATAAGACCGAACGCGATTACAATTAATTAAATAAAAACTCATAAATAATTTGTTAAGTCTTTTAAAGATTCTTACGATTAAAAATAGCTTAGGAAGTTATTTGCCACTCTGGTAAATAATAATACGCGATAATACGATTCTGGAATGATTTCATTAAACGGAAATGAATTCAAAGTTATATGGTTTCTCGTACTAAACTTTTTTCTCGAGATTCAAATGGTCAAAGTTACGAGGGATCGATTGATCCATATCAATAAGCCGACGATCTACTTTTTCGCGTATTGCCTGGCAATGAGCGAAGGTGTTCTAAGTGTATTTGTTGACCAATATCATTTTTTTGTTTAAATCAGAAATACTCACGTATACGCGTATATCACAATTATTAGTAGGGGAACTTGCGTTCTTCTATACGTAAGATTGCACTTCGTTGGTTTTTAAGTTAAACGCAACTAATTCTCATTTCCCTACTGCCTTGCGCGTCGATCACTTTTTTTGATAATCGTTGAATTAAATAAATATCGTGATATCGGGCAGTATCGAAATTATCTTAATACTCTTCTTATGCATAGACGAAAAAACATGTTCAATCGCTGCCGAAATATCTGAAAATGTTAAAAACTAAGACTCTCCTAGTTTGCAATTACGTAGCTTGTGCCAAAGGTTAGCACAACTTGTTTTCCAAAGGATACATGCTTCTTTCTTGATCGTACGTGCACGAAAGCGGTAATAGTTCACTTCTCCGTAAAGAATTCTCACGTGATTAGTGCGAAAATTAGCTTGTTTTCGGTAGCGATCGTTGATGTTCGCGCGTGTGTGCCAATCGTAAGTGACAAAACAAAGGTGTATACAGACAGAATTTAGGCCAAAGCGAAAAACATTGCGAACGCGTTTAACCCTTAACGTTCCAACGTTACGCGACAATATTTTACTAACAATAATAACAATTGTTAACTATCGATATTAAAAGAGGAAAATTATCGTAGCCGTTATTCGATGATTCACTTCAACCGGATACTTTGACACTTGTATCGGAGCCCTAATTCTTACCAATTAGTACAAAGAAACACTGAAATCGCGTTACATCTAAAAACGATTTACAACTAAAATTCTCACGATTTTTAATTAAAACCGACACTAAATACAGATTTACAAAGTTCACGTATAACTTAATATTGCTTTTTCGAACGCTCTAAAAGAGCTTACAGATAAAATACACCAAAAATGTGACCCAACGAGTCCAAAAATTAGAGCTTATCGTCACGAACGATAAAAACATCCCTTATCGGTCAGCTGTTCGTTTGATCGTAAAAGCAAATACATTTTGCGCAGGGTAATTCTTAACGAATCGTGTATTAAGACACGATCGCCGTGATACGCAATAGCGGAATCGAGATTGTAGATCGTTAAGGGTTCGAGTAAGCTGGAATAAAAAATAATTAAGAAAAAAAAAAAATGAAAAATGAAAGTCGAGAACAAAGCGGTGATGTTTGATCTGCGCAACTACTTACGTTGGAAGTAATTATCACGTCCTAGGAAGTCGCTATAAGGGAACGAGCTATCTGGGTATTAACTTTTACAAGTACTCCCGATTATCTCGTTCGGTTTCTGTTTCAATAATCTGCAATTAGTAAATTTATTTAAATAACGCCGCATCGGAAGTTGCTAGATCCAATTAGAAGTTCTCTCGCAATCGCCCGAAACGATATTTTCTTTACGTTCACTTTGGTCAACGTCAAACGGTACATATTTGATAAACAGTGCGAGATAGAGATTCGTTAACAAACACGATAAAAAACGACAATGTAACGTTCCGACTCCTACCTTTGGACCCTTGTTAGGAAATGAATTTTAGCAATCGTACGATTTAATAAAATGAAATATACGAATAAATATACATGTGTATAAATAGGGGTGACTTAACGTTGAATAAAAGAAACGTGATTCGTCTCTCTGTAAACTAAAAATATTAAATATAACGATCGTATCGATACGATGCATCGACTAAAGTGTACGCAATTAATATCTAATGAGCATTACTGTGCACGTTCCGAAAAACTTGTTCGTTAAATATGATGTTCTCGTTCAACGTTAAATCACACGTATTTCGCTCTGGTAATGTATACAGTCATTGAAATTCGTTTTTCGACGGCAAAACTGTGGATCGAACGAAAAAAAAAAATAATGATTCGTTCGAACGTTGCTCGTTACGATTATCTTCTCGACTATTATAATCCAAATTATAATAAATATCCTGTGATTTTGTGCGCAAGTTCTACCGACTTGGAGTATCGATATCAACGTGCCTCTTTCTCGAGAGCGCGTTTACGACCATATAAATACACACGAAGAATACTGCGAATTCGGATGTAGCGTATTCATTTCTCTATTTTTTTTTTTTCATTTTTCTTTTTCCTCTTTTTTTCTCCGTGAAATTCTAACCGGAGCAATATGCTACTACAATTCGTTAACGAGATTCTACATCGTAGACTCCGTCGTTTTAGGAGGAAAGACGTGTTCTATCTCTTTACCCGTAAAAGACGACTCTAAATCGTAGCCTTCCCGTCCACGGATTTCGCTCTATTATTCGATATACAATTCCTTAAATGGAATTACATTTGGTTTAAATTACAAAAAATACACAGAATGCGTAATACGTATAAAAACTGTCGTATGCGTCACATGGTTATACCAATCTATGGAGTTCGTCGATCGTAATCAGACTTCGAAGTGAAACGCGTAATCGTTGATTGCGACGAACACTGTTGTCTTGTCACGGGAAAAGTGTAACAGTAAAACCTCGGGAAAACGGGAACGCATATACCCGGCGGGGTGCTCGATAGAAAATATCTAAAAATTACGAGTAACGATCGAGATGGATCGATCGTAATTTCAAGCACTTCGAAGTTTGATGGAAACGAAAAATCGACTTCGTCGACAACTTTATGTCGCGCTATTAATGACCACCAGATTACACCTAGTTAATCGCTACATACTGTTAATACGTCACGAGCTAGTGATAATACACGTTAACTAAAAAACAATAATAATCGTTATCTCTATATGTTCTCCGATTTATATTCTATGTGCGTACTCGTCATTCTTTTTTTTTTTTTTTTTTTCTACGGCGAAAGCATCGGTTACGAACAAAAGGACCCACTCGGATCTGACAATGGAGCAGTTGTGTTTAACGATAATTAGCTGCCTAATGTCTGGTATACGTGGAATTCTATACCTCTGGTGAGTTTGGCGTAGTCGCGTTGATATGATCCTGTAAACAAATTCGGAGATCCCGCTCGTCTAGTTCGCTTTCAGTGTCAACACTGAAGCTCCTTACGTTTTGGCCACCGTGACCCGTCCAACGTTGCTTCCAGCTTTCTAGCCTCATGACCTGCGACATACATATCATACACAATAATACCTGTTGAATCGACAGGAACGATCGTTCCCGCGGAACCTGGTACACTTTGTACATCGCTGTCTAATAAACAAATACTGTTAACGGTCGCCTCTCTGAAATACAAGATCGAGTTTTACACAATTCAACTATTTTGTAATTTCAACCATCCTAAGGTAGCAAAATAAGCTAATCGCTTAGCTAAATTAACAAAAGAACTAAATTCTCGTGTCAAAGATTGCCTTTCCGAGATATGTACACAGCTGAACAAAATTTCAGAATTATTCGAGTTTCTGTATTCCGTTCGATGTTTTGTAAAATTTATTGCGCTCGTTCACAACTGTTTAAACACACGAAGATTTCTATTGTCCTTTTAAAATGATCAAAGCATCGTCTGTTTGCCTCGAACAAACAATGTGCTGCGAGAAGTGTGACAAACCGACGTGACACTGAATTTAAGCAAGGCTGATATAGCGAACGGCATGCATTTTAATATAACGCACAGAAATAAGCAGCACGGAGCAGAATTACGTAGTTCCGTCTCTTTAAATCAAAATGACTCCTAACGTTTCTCCTATTGATAGAAACGATAGCAATCAACGACATATTTATATCTTTATACCGAAAATAATAATGCCGAACGTGCGCTAATTAACACATTGGTTACCACTTCATTTTGTTTTGGAATCTGTTCAGGTTCATTTTCATTTGATTTCCTTAAATACTAGAATCGTTCGTTGATCTTTAAATGTACCAATTAAATAGAAAATCCGCTTGATTGGTAAGCAATGTGCTGAAATGCATCTCCCATTCCATTGCGTGTAGTTAAAAGTCTGAATTCACACCTACAATAAAAGAAAAGGACGAAGCAAAATGAAAATAATTTAAGCACATGTAGAGAAGGCACGTTGTTAAGTACACGATAAATAAAACCGCAATGCATGCACCGAACATAGCGAGGGCATTCGCTTGGTGTATCGTTACATGTGTTATGATGATTTGTCAGCGTAAAAAGAGTAACTAAAGTAGCGTATATTCATTTGTACAGTCTTCAAAAATTTGCCTGTGACTGCATCGAGTATACTTATGGATACGCGTACGTGTAATTATATTTACATATCGTACACGTATGGAAACATCTTTACCTCGCGAAAATAACATGATACAAAGAAAACTAGAAATGTATTTTCTAGAGACTTTGAAACCATAAGTTTTGAGTTATTTGGAACATTATACAATGTTTATAAACGCTTATATAACAATAACAACGATTATGTTAAACATGTACAAAACTACAGACAAGTAAAACGTTTCTTTTATAAACTTCACATTAACATCATGCTACGTATATGAAATGGATAAAAATAATGCTTACAGATGGGTAAAGACTTACTCGAGCCAGCGCCAAGGCTCAGTCTCCGGGCTGGTGATTGGCGTAGGGAACTAAGGAGACAGAGATAACACAGCAATAGAGGGTTAGTTTTACAACACTAACCTAGCTTCTTTGTGTTAGTGTCTGGTACCTTCACACAATAAGAATTCGATTTATAATTATAATTAAGTACAGATAACACTGCATCGTCATTTTGATTTTTCTTTCATTTCTGTCCTTGCAGTGATTCATTCAGTGATACATATACATATAGGTAGAAAATATTGAATTAAATGAATAATATCTTTGAAGGTTTGTTTTTAGACATAATTTTCTGGTTTTTCTTTTCAGAAATTTGAATCAGTCGATACTCCGTGCTGTGCTAACTCTCAATGTCTAACAGAATGTCTTTAAAGCACAATTAGTATGATAAATAGCGAGCTTGTTTCGTCAACAGATAATTTTAATTAATGTGTCTACACAGAATAGTTTAAATGTTGATGTCGGAACATTGAAAATTTGGCAATTGTAATTATCGTAAATTTTACGAATAGCAACGATATTCATTAAAAAGTAATCTCGAATAATACTATGCAACACTCACCTCAAATTTTCAATGTACAATGAATTAAAACAAAAACGCAAATATTTCGTTCAAAGTTACATTTTTTTTTTATATATATATATATATATATATATATATATATATATTATTCTGGCGCCCTCAAAGATATAAGATTTCTTTTTAATTGAAAAAATGGTGATCTCCATAAGTGCAAAAATAATGCTATATAAATGAGCGGATACCATAATCGCGATTAACGTTTAGTGTAAAGCGATTCGACATTTATAGTTTATATTGCATTGCAGCATAGACATAACAAGCTGTGAATGCATCCCATCGTCGAAGCTCTGACATGTAAACAATTTTCTATATGAATTATCATTCGTACAAAGTACACGAGCACAAAAAATTGTGGATGGACCAAAACAATCTATAATATACTGTAGATGATGAAACGCGATGAATTCTTAATGTGCACAGGTACCTCTGCAGAGAAAAATTATTTGTCTATATGATCGGTGAGAAGGCTGTGTTTTGGTTGGCATTGAAACAGTTAATCGTTAATAAGAAACATTAGAAATGAATACTGTATGGTTAGCGTTCAATTTTATAGTAACCTTATCGTTAGTAACCTATTAGCGTCGGAAATTTAGTAAGATATTTATCTCGGTATTAAAACCGACATTTTTTTTTGTTTTTTTTTTTTTTTTATAACGTACAATTTAACTCACAATAAAAGTACCATTCTTCAGCGTGACGGCATTACATTGCAGTAAGAGGTGCAATTTGTGCATAACAATTTCGTGAGTCACAATGATACAAAAGCATAACTTACGTTTTCACTTATTTTACATATTGTTACGATAGATGCAATCGTGTGCACCCAATAAATACAATCAGAAGGAAAGTAACGATACATATTATGTACATACTTCTGTAACAGACTTTAGTTGAAAGGTTTCAGGATAATTAGTTAACAAACATGTTTTAGTAACGCATCGAGGATTTAATCCTTTATAATACGTGAATTAATGGTGCAACAGAAACAACGATAAAATTGTCCAATCTTCGATAGCGTACGATATTCAAGGCGAGAAATACAAGAGTGTTTGTGAAACATAAGTACTCGACAAAACAGTGTCACAAAAATATCGGGTGCATTTTCACAGATATATGAACACGACGAGAAGAACCTTATATTACACAACAGATTGTACAAACGCTGTACAATAAATGTGAACTGTCGGGATCGTAAATCGTAAAATGTTATTGTTATGTAACTTATGAAAAGTATCAAGAATCTTGGAAATGAGGTTCGTTTAAATGTGCCTGTGTAGACTGTAACGATAGTATAAAAATTATGCGGATACACGTTACTGAATCGTATGGATATGGAGAAATTTAAATAATAGATCAAAATCCTAGGACGAACTATCAAACTGAAATTACTTCTATTTCCAAATGTACGAAAGTCTCGATAATTACGTTAATCTACAAGCTCCAGAATTTACTAATTTGCAGCCCAATAGCAGATTCAATAAAAATCGAAACTCTTAAGCTACGTATCGTGAGATGATCAGAACTCTAAGTCTTTTCGATCTACCGTCATTACTTCTACCGACAACAGTTTAAACTGAATACTTATACAATGTTATAAAAACACTAAACAGAGATACGGATTTCAATCTTAACGGAAGAAACGTAATCAAAATCATTAACAATTATAAACATATATGAAAGTAATTACATTTATGCATAATTGAAAGCATTCTTAGATAATTCACTTGCAATACTTAGAATGTTCGCTAGAAATGACATTGATGCCTTTCTTAAGACTGATATGAATCGTAAAATTAACATGAACGAAATTTTGTTTTTATAGGAAATAATAGGTAAATGCCTTGAATAAATAATTATTAGTAAGTACATACAAAAATACAAGAAAAAAAAAAAAAAAAAAAAAAAAATCAAATTCTTGCTTTGCACGAAAAAATGAAAATTCATTTGCTTTTGAGTAGCTATTCCTTTCGTTCACCCCTTACTGCAATTTTTTAAATCAATGCTTTCATTAATGCAGCATAAATAAACTTGCAATTTTTACATACCTCAGCTTTCAACTCTGCAACTTTGTCCTGTAATTCTCTTACTCTCTCACTGTCGTCTAAATTATTCCTAAGCTCACCCTCCGCATGCATCTCTTCATTCTGTAAACAATAAAAGAAGTTGATGGTTTTAACGTTTTATACGCAAGCAGTTCCATATCGATGAAGATTCGATGGATAATGAAGATCGTACTTTTAACTTAAGAAGAGATATCTTTTGCGTGAGTTCCGCGACTTGCTGCGCGTGTTCCGCGTCGCGTATCCTAGCCATCATGGCTTCGTCTTTCATCTTTGACTCTAGGTCTGAATACTTGTGTTGTTGCTCTCGCAATTTGGCAGTAAGCTCCTTCTCCCTATCTAAGGCAGTCTCCAATTCTTCTTTAACTTGTTTCCCCCCTTCGTCCTGTCGACGGAGCTGATTCGTGGCGACCTGCACTTGAGTCTCAAGCTCCATCACTTTAAGTCTAAGTTCTTTCACTTCGGTCAATGCCTCCATCTCGCGAATTCTAGTTGTCATTAAATCTTCTTCGAACTTCTGCACCTCGTGGCCTCTGTTTTCCCAAAATAGAAGCTTTTTCGGCGTGGAATCGCTCGCAGGTGCCGTTTGGGCGGAACGATGCTCTTGCAGATGCCTTTGCCAGGCAGCGCTCAATTCCACTACTCTTTGTCGAAGATCCTAGCAAATTTCTTGTGTTATTATACAGAATAAAATAATGCATCCGCTCGAGCGAAAGAAAGACTTACCTTTAAGGATAGGTTAGCCTCCGCCTCTCTGAGTTTCACAGCGATCAATTCTTCCTGCAAGTGAGCGACAGAATTATCTGGCGTGGTTTCGCGTAACGTTTTCTTATCTTCCTCCAATTCTTGTATTCTCGCTCTGAGTTCCCTTATCGTAGCATCGTTCTCCGCCTCGTGCAATCGCACCCTAACCAATTCCTCTTGCAAACACTGTATCATCTCTTCTTTTTGCGACAACGCTTCTTGCTTCGACAAAATTTCATCCAGAGACGATTGCTTCGATGTTACGTTCTCTTCTAACAGCAGAGACAGGGATCTCAGCTCTTCGTGTGCCTGCTCGAGCTGATGGCTGGTCTCTAGATGCGTATGTCGAAGCGCTGCTAGTTCCCTTTGTACAACAAAGGCGGTTTCTTCTTCCTCCGCGCGAGATACTTGACCCCTGACTAATCTGTCCGCCAGTTCCGCGGATTCAGCTTCGAGAAGTTCAGTTCTTTGTCTAAGTAACCTATTTTCCGCCCTAAGTCTACGAAGCTCGACCATTTCCTCTTGCTCTTTCATTTTTAACACAGTGTAATCTTTCTCTAACTTCTTCATTCTCTTCGGATTTATTTTCATACCATAAGCAAGGCTCATGAGGCCATCGGGATCTTTCTCGGCCTTTCCAGGTAACTGTTTCTGGAAAAACTGTATCGAAAAGAACTGGTAAATATTATTAAACTAAAATCACGGTCCAACATAGACCCATAGAGCGGCTGGGGAAACATTGTTTCTTTAAAGATCGCTACAACATTTTACAATGCCTGACGTTCGTTCTACGGATAGGCGATACGATAATAATCTACTTCGGAGATGAGCAAAATTCTCATCTAGAGAAAGAACGAAAAATCTAATACTTGTTCCACGTATATCTTATCCGCGCGTTATTCGAATACAGCTTTGCTCATCTCCGATCTGTTTATAGGATACGACGTAAGTGTTGGATGATGAACGTTACCTTCAACATGCCCTCCATGTCCAAGCTCAACAAATCCTCCTTGCCTAAGTGTAACATGGCCAGCGCGACTTTGAAAATAATTTCCATGCCTTCGGACAGAAACACGTCAAAAATGCGACAAGCCAGCGGTAGGCTCAGCGCTGTGGTGAAAAGCGTAAGAAACCAAGATGATGCGTACATTGAGGTGTGAAAACCTTGAGCCGTGAAATGAGCGTGTAACTCGGGATGCGTGTCAGCAACTAAATGTTCTAGCTGATACATGCACACCCCTAATTCAGCCATACTCGGCTTGAACATGTCTCGCAAACGATACTCTTGCATAAGCGCTACCAGTACAGCGAAAGCTTCTTCCTCTGGCATTTGCTGCAACAACAGATTGATACCTATTTAATATCGAACAATGTCGTGGTAACCAGAGCCGGTTTCTTAAATGAAGAACTGAGAAAAAGAATGAATTGTATCCGAGTGAAATTTTTATATACAAAACTACGATTCTCAGCCCTTCAAACATCTCCCTTATCGTTCGATGTCCGTTTCTCGCGTGAAATATTAAAGTGTACCTGCATAAGGAGCAATCCTACAATAAATCCCGAACCTTGACAGTATCCCACTTCACGATCGTGAAGACTATACGCTTTCATAACGTTAAACAAACTCTCCTGACCAAGCCCGTCTTTCTCCTTAAAGAAATCATGCTCGGGGTACGTTCTGGCTATATCCCTTCTGATTATCCTTTCGCACGCGGACGTGGCCTTGATATATTCGGCGAATTGCTTTTTAACAGGAGAGTCGTGAGCACCGCTTAATAGTTGCCAAACAATACCTCTGCAATAATTAACGTCCATCAATGCTTCGTTTGGGATAGCCAGTCCGAGCAATCGGGAAGACTTTAATCTTAGAAGGGCCAAGTCGCTAGCTCCCCTTAGCTTTTCTACAATTAAAAGTCTTCTCGTCTCGCAAGGATAATTTAAGAAACTTTTCGAAATGTTGGTTACCTAAAATGATGAGGTATTCCTTGACGTACTAATTCTTTGACGAACTCTTTCCTCTTCTTCCAATGATAATCCCAATCAGCGACGATATGGCCCCACAGGGTCCACGTATTTTCTTCACCATCAGCTGCGTTGTGGCGTCGGGGCGCAGCATCGCCGTTCCCTCCGCTGCCCCCCGACGCCACCGACACCTGAGATGTGTCGGAACCTTTCCTACTGTGATTGCTTTGGAGCGAGTTCAACGACTTTGCATCCGATTCGATAAGCCTGTTATTGATTACACCAAACTCTTGAGACACCTCCTTCAATTTTAATCCAATCGCTATCTGCATTACAAAACTGTTGATTTGTAACATATGAGACATTTGTTTCTCTCAATTAAGGTGAAAAGCACCTCGCCTTTGAAAACTAGGGACATACATATTTTCGACTATTAGCTAGGATTTAAATTTCAACGACTTCTAATCGAATTTCCGATTAATTTCCTTTCTTCGAGCGATCGAAGTCGATGAACACAAATCTGCTGACTATGGCAAACGTAGCGGACTCTATACTCGAGGTCGTTCACATTGAGACACACGGCTAAACATTATTTCATACAAGCGAGGATCGTAAAAGAACAATTTACATTTCCTTTATTATTTCTTTCTTTCTAAAATTTTTACTCGGGAAATTCTTTTTCAAAACTCTTTGTAAGCTGATTACAGGCAAACGATATATTGATCGTCTATACACACGATCCTTACAAGACCATCATCATATGTCACAACTCAATATTATACTAATGCCCTAAAGACAACTACCAGCTACTATAGATATCGTTCGATATCATAAGACTATGTATGGTTTTCTTTGGATGTGTGGGTCAACATCGTCTATCTTACGAGAGAACCTTACAGCTGTTCCACAGAAAATTTCGATGATTTCGTGGGGGCGTATGCAAAGGCTGAACGATCGTTACGTTTCTATGTATATTTGAACAGAGATTCGATACTCGAAACCATGTAGACATTGTCATCGTTCGACCTCTACATTCATAACTCCAAATATCACCGAAATTCCTAATGCATCAGCTGTAGAGTCGCGTAACACCAAGAACGTACAAAAATAAGCAGGACTGGCAATTTAATGTACATAGAAATATACCGGTCAAAGTAATTAAGAGATTCGAGGTGGATTTTCTTGAACAATTAATTCTCCAACGAAAAATCACCTCCTTGTCGACTGTATCCCTGATAACTAGACTGCGGATCTTTATGCAAAGTAAAATGTTCGCGAACGTGCCTACAAAAATTGAATCTAAATAGGAATTTATTTTATTCGACAAATATTATAGCATGAACTTTACTTTCGATCTTTTTTATATTCTTGCATATCGCATTTTGTAGTTTCTTCCGCATTCAAATTTCCTATAAATGCATCAAGATCCGCGGTCTGCTGATAACAGATCATCTCGTACAGTATCTTCTATAGTTCAGCCAACGAACTCCTAATTAATTCGAGCCGTGTGATACACGTAACACAATAACGAAGCGCTAATATATTTAAAGCAGTAGTTGATTCGCACATGCAGCCGACGAACAGAAACGTTGCTCGGTAGAACAATTCACCTATTGGCTTCTTCCAGCTTAGCTAATAGAGCCAGCTCGTCGGTGGGTATTTCCTGCGACGAGTTTATATTCTCTTCCTCGGATGAAACCGGCGTCGAGCTCTCGAGTATTTTGCTAGCCTGGCCGTTGTTTTGAGTCGTCTGGTGTACTGAGGTGCATAAACACAACACGCTCATCACCTGCGGTCCATAACGGGATAATCCTAATTGGCCAGCTACCTGGTTCTGTTGCCCTCTGAAAAGAATTCGTCGTTTAATATCGCTACCGAAACAATAACACGGAGCGAACTCGGTTAAAAACAAAATTCCATCGATCGATTACTTTCGCCAGCAACGCGTTTACGTTCTCGTTAACAAGTAACCGCCATCGATTCGTCAATGAACGGGTGATTATTTATGCATAATTAATTGGCTTCGAGTGGCTTCGGGAGTATCGTCGAAGCCCAATTACGGCTCGAACTCGCGAGCTTTTCAACCCCTACGAATACCACGTTCGTTAGAGAACGTCTGCCACTCTCTCGTTCCCTGCCCCCTTAATGCCGTTCGAGTTTGTTAAACTCCGCTACTTGTTAATTTCGTAACCTCAATCGACACGTTGGTCGCGGGACCAAATATAAACAGTAGATACCGGCAACAAGGAGAAGCCAAATTCGAAAATACTCTGCCGAATGATGCGACGTAAATGCACGTCTCCCTTCCCCTATTGCGAACGCGGACACCGTGAGAACTGTAAGGGGCGGAGAGAATCCCACGCTACCCCGAAAAGGGGATGCTTTTCGAAAATTTCTCCCACGGGAAAAAAAGGAATCGACCCCATCCAAATGGAGAAAGTTCAACGACCTCCAAAGAACGACGGTGCGTTCGACGCGTTAACGTATTCGTTGTACCTTTTGGACGTTTTATTTCGCGTCCATCGCGCCGCCGTCGGTGCCAGCAAACCACGAAGAACCATCGAGGAATTTTTCGCTGTTCGGTTACGAAATCTTTGCGGTCACTGAAACTGTCCAAGTTCGATCCGTCTCGCTCTACCAGCGATTACTTTCGATTTTTCCGCGAACCGTCGTCGCTACTCGTCGCGTACACTTTTTAACGATTTTCCGCGAAGCTATCTCGGGTTCCAAGTACGGGTGCATTTCGATCGTGAGCCTTTCTGTCGTCAAAGTGACGGAACCGTCTTTTTTTTTTTTTTTTTTTTTATACAGGACAACGTGTACTTTATATGTAACAAAATATTAATTGTATCGTGAGTAACGACCACACGAAACCTTAAACGTTACTATACCGATAAACGTGACTGTCGATGCGGTTTAAAATTTTTCAAATCGGATCAGCGTTTGATTTTCGAGCGTCGCTTCAGTCAGAGACGCAAGAAACGACGATAAGTCGAGAAGAAAGTCAGGCAATTAGCGGGTGCGAATGAATTAGCGAGCGAAATAGCGGGCAAACGGGTGCGAGCGCGAAACACTCTCGTCCGCGAGACGGGATAATTCACGTTTCTCGGTAATGCTCGTAGATGCTGTGGAATTTAAAGCGCGTACGAACATCTGCGCGCGCGAACGATAACGTCTGACCATCGCGGTATCAAGCATCTTTTTTTCATATCGCTTACCGAGGTACAGTACAGTGAGTTTCGTACAGCGTTGTCTCGAAATAAGCGACTCCGCTATCCACGCACCTTTTTGTTTCAAGTCGGCCGCCGACCGAGAGGTCCATGAAAGCGAGAGAGCCGAACAGATACCAAGCAACGAGTCGAAGTTAGAACAAAAGTCTGCGAAGAAATGTGATAGTAGAAAAGGATAGGATAGAGAAGGTGGATAAACAATAAACAGAACAGCAACGATAATAATAATCCAAAGATAAAGTAAACAGTTAAAAGCGGTAGTAACCAGTATTAGGGGGAGAGGGGTATAATAAGCGCGCGAAGTAAATATGAAAAAGGAATATGTAAACATAAAGTAATTTTGTTATAGGAAATGTGTTGATAACTATGCAAAAGGTTTCGCGTTAAATAAAAATACAAGTTATTACCCTAGAACGTTTAAATAAATTTCTAAATTTGACGGGGACGCTTATGGCAGCCGACGGAAAAAAAAGAAATTTTGCACGATACTGTAGAGATTTAATCGAAACGTAATTTGTCGTTCTCTTCTTCCAGCTGTTCGTTCGAGCCAACGTTAACTTCCGGCAAATACGATTCACCGAACTCCCACAAATGTCGTCCAGATTTGCGACGACGCTTTTAAAAAGTCATTGAAGCCTCGACGAACCACGATCGAGCATTGCTATCTCATTAGCGGGCTGCGCCGTAAAGGGATTTCCCTAACAACCTAATTTGCCACGGAATAACTCTCGACCGAGCCAGACGAAAATCTCGTGGCCACCGAACCGTGATTTCTATTCATATTCCGTTTCAATCCGGGTGCATCCAAACCCTCGATCGGAATCGTCGATAATTGAAAGATCTCTCGCGTCCCATATTCGCTTTTCCGAAACGAATAGTTCGAATAATGGCTCGCGTTTATCCCAACGGAATCCTAACTCTACCTCGCTTCGCCGATAACTCGTGCGGTAAACGAATAATCGTTACGATTTTACGGATTATCGACGACGACATTAATTTCGTTAAAGCTACAAATTCCTAGTTACAAATTACAGGTTACATAAAAGACGAAGGTCGGTTAGAAATAAAGCGCGCACTATCTTTTCACGTCGCACTGCGATAAGAAGCGCCTGCACCATTGCGCCCAACAATTTTCAACGACAAGTTTCTCGCAACGAAAATATCGCACGACGAACGGGTACGAAACGATTTCGAATTAATTTTTAACGAAGAATTTAACCCGGACCATACCTCGTTCTGTACAATATCGCTACGTGATCGCGTCTACTATATTTTCCTCGTTTTTTAAACAAATCGAGACCAGCATCGTCCATGTCACGCATTTTGCAAAATCAGTTTGCGTTTTAACCACCAGGAAAACCACCTGGAAGCTTGTACAAGGAACCCTTCTCGGTCGAGAATCAATGGAAAATCTACGCAATCCTCAACCCTAAGAATTCCATGCAAGCTCGGAGGTAATTTAAAAGTAACATCTTTCAACTCCAGAAACGACGCGATATCAAATTTTACATAACAAAAGAAATATGTTCTATCACTAACGTCGGCGTCGTTCCGTTTCCCGGTAGATAGAACGCTATCGAATGTCCTCTCTGAATTTATTCGAACGTTCGTCTCGTTTCTTTTTTCTTTATGACGTTTTCATCTACGTCGATAGAATTTCCTTTTATAATTCATATTGCATTCGTAGATTAATCGATCGCCGATCCGAAGATAATCATCGAGCACGTTTGTTTACCCGAGGATCGTCGTTGAATAAAATAGGCCTCGCCTCGAACTCGATTTTATTTTCCTTTGTATACAAACAGTCTTTTATTATTATTATTATTATTATTATTTTTCGTCGAGCAGATCGCTTCGCGTTGATAAACGAGATTTTCGAGCACGGCGAAGTACGAGATCAAGATTCGCGACCGGTATCGGAGAATTCTTTTAATCTGGCAACACGCTATCACTGATAACGATTGATTTTTTGCGAGTCTGGCGAACAGCGATTGTTGTCCGGCAACGGCCGCCGGTTAATTGGCCAATCGACGTTGATTTTATCGTTCCCTTTTTCGATTAACTGGCACAGTAGGATCGCCAAACACGTACTGGAAAGTACGAAATGGTTTGAGGGTCGATGGAGCCCGCGCAGGCCAGGATACTCCACATGCGCAACGACCTCTCTTTCGTAACAAGTAAATAAAAGGACTCGTCCGTGGGAACGTGCCTTTCTTCCTGATAAACGGAACTCGGACATAGTTCGAACCGGAAGCATTTAAGACTCGCCAGATAAAACATCCTTCTTGAATTAAACATTGGTAAATGGTAGGCGAAGCATTAACACGTTGATCGCCACGTCACCCATACGTGGGTGACAGTGCTTTTCACTGAAGAACTAAAAAAATTAATTCTGAAAGTTAAGCCTTCAAAGGAAATGAATTTAAATGAAATTCGTGTATTTTGATGAAGTTACAAAAATAAATACCACGACGGACGTTTGATTACGTAGTATCCAATAGTCTGAATAATATTTGATTCTAGCAGAAATTTTCAAGAATATTTCTCTGGCAGTAAACGTGTTAAAGAAAAGCAAACTTTGTTTGGAAAAGTAAGATAAACACGGAAAACGATCGAATATACTTTGTCTACTCTATACAGGGTGTCCCAAAAATGTTGGAGGTCCTTGAATGGGGTGGTTCGGGAGGTGATTTGAAACAACTTTTTCCTTGGCGAAAATTTTGTCCGAGGCTTCGTTGAGGAGATATTAAGAGAAAACCCCGACCAATCAGAGCGCGCGGTTACCGTTGGAGCGGCCGCGGTAGCGAATGAGCGCGGCCGCCTAGCGCGTAAGCGTACGTTCCACCGGTATACGCGCGCTCTGATTGGTCAGTGTTTCCCGTTAATATCTCCTCAACGAAGCCTCGGACAACAATTTCGCTAAGGAAAAAGTTGTTTCAAATCACCCCCTGAACCACCCTTTTCAAGGACCTCCAACATTTTTGGGACACCCTGTATTTTTGTTTCACGATTTTTGAACAAGTTTCCCTGCAAGTACGGCACATAATTAAGTAGGTATAAATCGTAAAGATGTACATAATATTGAAATGATATAAACAGGTTCGAAAATCAGATGTCTGCGTCACGAAGAAAAGTAAAATGTGCACAGGACCCGACGTGAAATTGCACGAAGAGCGTGTAACGTCGTTTTAATCGAAAACAATGCACAAGTTTGAAACCTTTCTCTAATACGTCCAACTATTTGAATATCTTTACATCGGATCTTTATTCCATCGCCTATATTTCCACCAAACAAACTCCAACAACCCCAAATGATTTTCCGAATGTTCGAAACACTGTAACGCTCGAATAGTCGAATGTAGAAGAGAACAAGTAGCGTCAAGTAGTCCCAGCCCTATTTTTGGAATCGACGATTAGCGAACCTGCGCGGACTTTTTCATGCGCGGCTACAACGTGCTTTACTCCCTTTTTTCCTTTTTTTTTTTTTAATTGCTACGCGACGATGAACGACGGATCGCTTTACCGTTACGATTGCACAACGCGCGATACACGTATGGCTCGTATACATGGAAAGCAATCGTCGAAATGCATGCCGCGAACAAAGCGATCGAAATGAAAGAGCGAGTTGTGCACCGTGTCGCGGAACGAGATCATTCTAAAACGTTGCGTGATTTCCGCAATTGAATTTCGAGAGGAACGCACCGTGGACATTTTTTTCTTCTACTATGTTTTACGCCGTCGCTAAAAACCACCGATAATTCGACGCCACCAATCTGCGATCCGTGCTTGAATCTATAATTCAAGTCCTCGTTCACCTAATCGTCGATAATTTAGAACCTTTGAAGACTAATCGTTAATCGGGATCATCGATTACTTAGCGAAATTCAATTTAAATATTCAGAAAAACGCATGTATGTTCTTAACCACTTGATGGATACAAACACATATGTGCACTTTTGCTTTTAGAGTTCACAAATATTTAAAACTCGTCTCTGGAGAGGTTAAAGTGATCTAGATCGTATCTGTCCACCTGTAGATGAAATGTCTGGCGTTACAATGAGTTAGCATTGAATACACTTTTTTATCCCGACATAATAACAGCTGAATATTATTTTATCTGCATTAGCATGGTTGTTTCAACTAACAGCGTAATTGGTGCATTCTCACAGTTACTTAAGTTAATTCTACCGGTTTACTTACAGTTTTGTATATTTGAAAGTAGCGTAAAGAAGCCTAGAAGTCTTGTTTGATGTATATTTCAATATTCCAAGCTGAATGCATTTTCAAAGATTAACGTATCAAGATGTGTGGAAACTTATTATTTTAGAAAATGAAACTGACATACTATATATGATAACAATATTAATTTTGACTATAATACATAAAATTAATGAAATCACATGGCATCAAAATGATTTAAAGTGCTTCAAAAGTTTATTGTTCATAAAATATCCATTGGTGCATATAAGATGTCATATACGTTTTAATCGTTTCGTTATTTTACTTCGATTAAATTTTACATTTTCATTGAAACACCTGTCTCAAATATAATTTATTTCTCATAAATATTCGTGTAATTATCAATGACGTTATGTCAGTTTATAGATTCACTTTAATTCGCCGTAAGAGAAATCTGAATGCGCTACATTCGTAATAGAATTTATGAGAGAAAAGAATAAATATTTTCAACGTGACATCATTAAGCCTTATTTCCCGTAATAATTTACAAATAACGTGTCGGTCCTCGAGCTGGAGAAACAAAAATTTAGAATGTGTCGAAAATCGGCTGAACGCAAACCGAGGAACGTGTATTCGATAACAGGTGCTTAACAATACTACAACGAAAAATGAAAACTGTCAGAGTGGCACTTGTCCATATTAACAAACTGTCAGGCAGCCGAATCACCCGTGGCCATCTGTTTCTGATACGGACTAAAATCGTTGTAAAACGCTTACCTTTCACGCGATTAATACTCCATATGCCGATCGACAAATGAATCACGCACTAAGTCAAGAAATTATGTTTCCTGTCAGGTAAATCGGACAGAATGTTACTGCGAGAGTAACGAGCAAGCACATACGCGGCTGTCAGCACTTAAAATTGTCATCACGATAGATTGTCCACGCGCACTGTTACCAACGTTAGAATCTCCATAGGAGGATGGTAGTAACGAGAATTACTTTTTGATGCCTTTTCAAAACGATTCGTCGGTGTCTATTCTTTTGTTAATATTGAAAAATATAAACGTTAAAGCACGCGGAAAGTCTGTAAATATAGAACTATTAAAATATTGCGTAATTATTATGATAAAAAACGTGGCCTGATGTACATTACCACTCCAGGGTTCGTTTACAACAAATCCAAAGGTTACTAGTTCTCATAAGTATGCGAATTCAAAGTACAGTCATTCGAAAATTCAAAAAAATATGCAATTACAAAAATGTAGTTTGAGTAGTGATAATAATGTAAAAAATATAAAAAATAAATATGTTGCTAGTGTTTTAGTGACAGTGGCGCCATCGGTGAGGAAACGTCCAAGTTCGTAGTGAAAATAGTTCCCACTGTTGATACTAGATGGCGCCACAGATACGTTTTAATTAATTGTTCTTTATTTTTCATAAATACATAGTTAATGCGATTCTGTGCTGTATAAGACTACAGTATATTCATTTGTATGAATAATTATTCAATGCAGAAATAATTATTTATCCTTTAGTTCGGAGTGCCATCTAGTTGCAACAGCAAGAAGTATTTTTTATTAAAACCTTGGGCATTTTGTTATAAGATGGCGCCACCAATTGTAATTGTCGTTGCCATCTAGCTTCAAAGATATCGAACTAATTTTCTCTTTGCACTATGTTTTTTGGATGCACTATGCGATTTGTTTTTTAGTATTCATCATACTGCACGTGTTTCTCAAAGTGACGTATGGCCTGTAAATAAATAAGAACTGTTTTTCATATTGAAACAGCCATAAAAACATGTTTTATAGGATTTACAGTGTCACAATGAAATATAGTCGAGTTACATAAAAAAAATTTCAACAATGTCATTAAGAAAATTTATGCATCCAAAAAATAAATATAAGAAAGTACCAGATTTTACAAAACTTGCACTATTATATCCCGAATTTCGTAATGTTTCGACTATAGTAAGTAAGACATGCTTAGATAAATGGTTATTGTATACAAGATTTAATGTTTCCCTTGTGTCATCTTTAGGATTTGACAGGCAAAGTAAAGATTGACTTTAAAAATGAAGACAGCCTCAGAGTCCTTACAGAGGTATTATTAAAGCATGACTTTAATCTTGAAGTAAAAATACCTCCAAATAAATTAGTACCAACTTTGCCATTACGCTTGAATTATATTTTATGGATTGAAGACCTAATGAAGCATGCTTCTTTTTATGAAATGGAAGAAATTGTTGGCATAGACATTGGTATAAAAGATGAATCAATGTTATTCTTTGAATTCACAATTTCGTAAATATAAATATTATCTTTTTCTGTAGGTACCGGTGCAGTTTGCATATACCCTCTGCTGTTTGCAAAATTATATGGAAATCGAATGATTGGTACAGAAATTGATGATACAAGTATAGAAACAGCTATTCGACATATCGAAAATAATAACTTGCAACATTTAATAAAAGGCAATTGTTGACTACTTATTAAGATACTACTGAATTATACACAGTTTATTTAATTTCAATGTATAACATATACTTTGCAGTACTTAAAGTAAATGGAGATACAATTCTGAAAGATGTTATAGAGAAAGACAAAATCTATCACTTTACAATGTGTAATCCACCCTTTTTTGAAATGGAGGAATCACAAGAAAAAGTACCAAAGCGTCGGCCGCCGAGAAATGCGCCAACTGGGAATAAAGTGGAGCTCTCTGTCCAGGGTGGTGAAAGGACATTTGTTACACAAATGATCGACGAGAGTCTAGAGATAAAAGAAAGAGTAAAAATTTACACTACAATGTTTGGTCGAAGAAGTAACTTGCTATTCTTGTTAAAATTGCTAAAAAAAAGAAACATAGAAAACGCAACATGGACGGAATTTTGTCAGGGACATACTAAGCGGTAAAATTATTTTTTTTTTCAAATCCTTGTCCACTTTTAACATTAATATATTTATTAACATATTTGTTGATAGATGGGGATTGGCTTGGTCTTTTCTGCCACTGGACGTTATTAATTTGACAAATGCACCTGTTATTAGAAAAAGTGGAGATTATATTGCAAAACTGTTGAAACAGCAGCGCCCAACGGAAATACAGTTTCCTATGCGCGATAAATTTTCTTCTTTCAACAACCTAGTAAATTTCTTAGAAGAGATAATGGAAGAATTACATGTAATATTACAATTTATTTTTGTTCGTCTAACATATTATATCTATAAAATTTTGATATACTTTTTTTGTACACAGATACACATTAATGAATTAAACTTACCTATCGATGATTTCAATGGTTGGTCATGCCAGTTAATCGTGGAAAACGATATGTGGTCGCATGCACGTAGAAAGCGTAGATTAGCTCAAAGACAAATGAACCAACATGAAACTCATAATACAGTAAGCGATGGTATAAAGAATCCTACAGAAAATACAAATGAACAAAAACAGGTTGAATTTGCTACTAAAGATCCTTTATTAGTATGTAACTTCTTTGTCGAAATAGTAGAACATGACGATGAATCTGAGAGTGACACCGCAAAGATATCTATGGTGTTTGAAAAAGGAAACGGTGGCAAAAACGCTTTAGAAACGTTTAGGCAGTATTTAATAAATAAATTAAACGTGAGAGAATATTTACGAAAGCAATATACAGGACCAACTAAAAGGAAAAGAAAACGATTAAAGAAAACTGAAAGCGATGTACATGAAACTGATATCAATTTAGAACAAGGCGAAAGTACATCGTTCGACAACGATGCGGAATCTTCTTAGAATGTTGGTCCACGTTCTATACAAAATAATTTATTTTTCGCGCAAACTTCACGAAACTATGTAACAGGTAATATATGTAAATCAAGTATTTAACTTTATTTATAATCAATAGTTCTTATTAACTAGTATTCCTTATCGTACATTTTGACTAACAAGTGCAATATAATATTCCATGTGGTAAAGTGTACTTGTTAAACAGAAATTGCATGACATGTTCACTCATTCTTTTCTCGTCAGTATAAACGCAACTAACAGAACACAAATTAATGTTTCGTTTAAAACGTGTATCAACAAGCGATCGATTTCTTTCTCAACTCAATCTGATTTGATTATAAAATAAATTTTTAATGTAAAACGTTGTTCCTAATATTCGTTTGAAAACGAATATCGTTTAATACAAAGAAGTATGAACGAGTAACGAAAAGATGTAGCCTAACATTTCGGTAACAATTGATTCTCATTCTTATAACTCTAGGACTAACTGCGGTACTTCTAGTGGTAACCGTAAATTGACGCTACTTCTATAATAACTTGACTAATGAGCTGTTTCTGATAACTCTTATTAACGATCATGAATGCAAAACGCACGTATCCGCCATTTATACCATGCTTTCGCTATCATCAATCTTTACAAAGCATGTCATTTTTCATACGAGTAGTAAATAAAAATCTTCAAAATTCAATGTCTTTTGCAGATTCAAGTCCTCGTATATCGTAATGGTCGAAAAATGAAAGGAAGCCTTTATTTTAAAGTGACATACGTAGTGATATAAATTGAACAATAAAGCTGTATGCATTATTCTTGTTGAATATAATACAAATACCTTGTTCCTTTCTTGATCTACATTTTAAATGTTTAAATGGTTCGTAATTAGTTTGTACTTTAAAAGTATCCCAGTTATTCAGAATTTAACAAAGATATGTATCCAACATGAAAGTTCAATCATCTATAGTATTTGTACTGAACCCAACAAGGCCAATTGTAAATAAAAAATACTTACAATATGCGATAAGTTTATCGATGGCAACTAGGATGGGGAAAATGACAGCGATGCCTGAATGGCACAAGAACAATGATTTCAAATATGACCTAATAAACAGGCTATCGAAGACAAAAAAAAAACCAAAACTACCAATTGACTTATATTCTACGATAATAAACGTCCATCATTTGTTTCACAGACAATTTTTGTACCGCTCGATTATTTCAGTACTTCGCATTCCATTTTAGTTTGACAACAGTTGTGTAATACACTGAAACAAACATTGTTATTTTGTTGATTAATAAATGTGGAGCCCGTATAATACCAATAGCCTCTGTCATTACGAAGTACGATTTATTAAGTCTTTAGAAAAAACGCGGTTTATGTTCATGGTGATTCCATTAGATCTGTAAACTAGTCAAATCGTGAACTTTGCGACACAAGCATATCATGTACGCTAACGCAATAATGCATTTTCAGTTGAATTATTTACACAAGTGAAGACCAGTTTTGTATTTGTTGTATACAGTCGTAAATCAGTCAAAGAAATTCTCTGGTTTGGCGTGAAATCGAGTATCGCGAGCACCGAGATATTGTTGCACAATAAAAGTTCAAACCTAATAGCACTTTGTAAATGTGTACAATACACCGAATAATAACGGTGTTTCATCGAGCAAACGCTGCTATTTTCATGTAATCCCAATCAATTATATATGCCATACTCGCGTTACTTTTAAAAAAATTGGACGCGGGTAAGGAGACTAGGACTCGGAGAAACAAAAACTACTAAGTATCATCGTTGGTGTGTTGAAATGAGCTCAGCTCTCTGCGACTACCACCGGTTCTAACGTAGTTTTGCTTTCTTCCAGCTTTTTCGTCTCTACTTGCTGCGCTTCGATGTTTTTCTCTAATTTTTTATTTTCCTTCTCGTCCTTCTTGTTCTCTATTTCATTTTTCTTGTTCTCGTTTTGGATCGCCTTGATGTCACCGTCGGGTGTCTGTTCCTTCTGCCGTTTCTCTATTTCCGCTTTAAAGTTCTCGATGTCTTGCTGACTGATTTGAACGAACAATATACCATTGATTACGTTCAGCATGTCCAGCACAGACCCCATACTGGGCGGTTGCACCTGAATCGGCGGCAGACTAACACCCGATTTGCCCGTGTATATTTCGTTCATTTTCTTTTGCAGAACAACGGCTTGTTGCGTGAGGTGTCTAAGACAGTCACTGCTTTCTTTGGTTTTCTCGTGATCCTCGCCTAACTGTTGCTTATATATAGCGTAGGTTTCTTTTTCGTTGTTTAAAGCTGCGCGAAAATCACCCATGCAGGATTGAGTCCTCGCGACAAGGTGATAAGAGACGGCGACCTTTAACGACCGTGGACCGTGGTATCGAAGATTTAGGGCCAAAGCATGCTCCAAGAAGCGGAGTGACAATTCGTATTCACCAACAGCATGGAGTATCAACGAAATGTTACTCTGAACGAACAATTACAATTGTTAGAGAAAAGTAAACTATTCCTTCCTTATCGTTATACGAGATTAAGGTTATGTTAATACTTACATCGAGGAGTGCTACTTCTGGATGATCTTCCCCGCAAACTAATAAGGCCAGGTAACGTGCTCTATACAGTAACCTGAGCGATACGGTAACTTGACCGTTTGCAAAAGAATACAGCGCGAGATGAATCTTTGAAGAAAATATTTAAAATAATATTATAACTATGATGATTATTATTAGTTTAATTAAATTAAAATTATATTCCTTCATATAATACTTACGTATTCGGTAATAGTGTATGGATGATCGATCCCGTTAACTCTTTCTGACATAAGAACCGCCTTTTGTTGAGTTGCAAGAGCTTCGCCGTGATCGCCCATTATATAATTTAGCCGCGCGAGCATTCGGAGACACTGTGCGATTTCAGGATGCATTGCACCGTATACGTTGTTCAGAAGATTTAATGCTTCACTGATCAATTCGTAGCCGTCCTTCAAGTAACCTTGCTGAATTTTACTTTGACCCGTTGTATAGAAATTATATGCATCGCTGGCTCTGGGATTGATATGCTTCACCACAGGGAATATATTGAGTATATCTTCCTCGAAGAATGTAGCTCTGTTCTTATTCTCAAAGTTGTATTCGCGCAATAGTATTTGGATTCCAGTCTTTATACAAAAACCACGAAGCAAAGAGATCTTTTGCAGATTAAAGTGGTCTATTGTGGCGTCTAGTGACTCTGGGCTCGGTGTTTCCCAATCATAATAGCCTTTCAAATCAGCTTTAATTTGTTGCCACAGAGATTTAGGCGTTAAGGATGCCCACTCCACCTCTGACTGTTGCGGACCATTATTCCTTCCTTTTCTTTTATTGCGTCGCTTTGCGGTTTTACTCTGAAGCTCTTCTAAATTTTGCTGTGGATGAATGATTTGTGCAGACGACAATAAGCAATTCAAGAAATGACTAATCGCAGCAGAAAGACTCATCAGTTCTGTGCCCTGCATGTAGAATGTAAAAATGTGTTTTGCCGAGCGTAAGACAAGTTCCGAAACAGCAATCCGGTTGAGATATTGCAATTGCGGTACCGCAGCCAGCATAGCTGCTAATTTACCCAAGTACCGTACATTGATGCCTCTGCCGTGCAAGGCTTCTACTAATGTACTGCCGTCCATTGCTGCAGCTGTGTGATCCAAACATTCACGAATCTGTCGGATAAAACGAGATTTTGATTAAGTACCGCTAAAAAATATTAATTTCACAAAGACAATGTTTCAAACGTACAAATGTAGGAATCTGTGCGGTCAATAAAAAGTCAGCAGCATCCTGGACCAATTGCTTTTGTCTCTTCAAGGCAGGACCGTTTGAATCTGGATGTCGCACACCCGGTGAAAATACATCTGGATTAAACCTGACATCGAATTCAGCTTCTCGTAAACTACCCACCGCTGACGCTGCTCTTCGAACGATTTCTTTCGTACTTTCCTCCACTAAACAAAAAAGTAAAGAACGTTCATAAATATTGAAATATCAATAGAAACATATTACTTACATTCTTGTTTCTCTCCACCAGTAATAGAGTCGGTAATGCTCTCTACAATTTTCTTTGCTTCGTCTGCTTCGATGAGGGATTGAGTAGAATCTTCTTTGTTGCTATCCATCGCGATGGCATTCGTTTCTTCTTTTTTATCTTCCTGAAATTGCACAACACTAAATGATGGCGTTATTCCCATCGTTATATATTAAGATCGACAAAAAATAAATCCTTGCCTTAGCAGTAGTTTCTTTTTCTTTCTGCACTATTTTTACAGACGTAATTTGCTGCAAATTAAGGGCGGTGTGTTTAATGAATTGAATATATCTAGCCTCAACGAAGGAGTCGATTAATTCCTGGCGAAGACAAGCTAATCTATGTTTGTGTTCAATTGGAAAGCCTAATGCCCTAGCTTCTTTGGTCAGCTCGACACCTTCCACTAAGAAAACAAACGGCGCATATTAACAAAAACGTCAAGAATGTCAAATTAATTTTAAATATATCGTTACTTATATTAATTTACATTTAAGGAAATTGACGTCAGGAGGGAAAGTCCGTAATAGATCGAGCACGTAATGTCGAGAATCATTTCCAATGATACCCTTGCATTCTACGCTGCTGCAAAGCTCGATTTCTTCTCCAGCGTCGTTGATAACTTTATGGGGAAGGATCTTTAATTGCTGGCCGGCTTTGTTCAACTACAAAATATGGCATATTGTATTAAATACTTCAAAAATTCTACTTCACAATTATACGTGACTTACAAGTTCGAGATACTTAGGATGCGTTAGAACCGTTTTTCCGAAATCTATAGAACCATAAACAACAGATTGCTCCTGCTCACGCTCCAAGATTCCTGGGATGATCGACTGAGCGGTGACACGATATCCTCTATGCAGAGGAATACGAGTGATTACCATAAAAACTTAACATCCTTTCTATCGTGATGTAAGTTGATATAGAATACTGAACATCGAACAAGTATGTACAATTGATCCGCTACAAAATATCCACGTCATACAAATAGGGTGCCAAAACGAAATGTGTGTACGTAATTTTGTACAAACCTATAGTCGATTACAACGGTACCAAGAGTGTAAAGACCGGGTAAATCGACTGCAGCGTAAACCCTGACACCTTGTAAATCGTTACGAGGCGCGACAAAAGCGGCAGCATCACCGCCGAGTTCTTTGTAATGGTCCCTAACGTCGAATCCAAGTGAGAAGAAAATATTGTTCCAAATAAACATCTGCATTTTCGCCTCTTCTCCTGGATTTATCGCCATCACGTTACCATCTATTACAGCTACTGCCCCTCGAGTTGCAGCGGCGACGAAATCACTGTGAACCTAAATTATTTGTTAATAAGCGAGCGACTTAGGATAATAAGCTTCGCTCTGTGTCTAGAATGTCTAAATCTAGAAACATACTTTAAAAATAGCACGTTCTCTAAGTAGTCTTTCGGGTAAATTTTTACGGGGTAACTCTCTCGTTGTTTGCAATTCCTCGTTCCAATCCCGAGTTTGTCCGGGGATGTGTTCTTCGTAGCCCAACTTGGAAGAGAAAGCTACGAATAAACAAAACCATCATTTCGTATAATTAAAAATTTATTCGAATACTCTTCTTTCGATTATTTCAAACGAAACGTACTGTCTTCGGCGCGTATCGCGTCAATCGTATGTTCAATCTGAGGCGCACTCCACGCGTAAAGCTGATAAGGTGTAGCGACTCTTTCGAAAGGATGCCTTTGTGTCCTCCTTCTTTGCATAGCGGCAAAACCTCGTTTAAATGCTGGACTGAGCTGATTCAGTAGTTCGATTAAACTATGACATAGATGACTTGGAGTTGCTGGTTTCGGATTGAACACTTCTTTCGTCGATTGATTGACGAAAAAACCCCTAGCACATGCAGTTAAATAATATTGCTTGTCCTCTAAGGTTACCACATGTAAATATAGCAAATCACCATGAAGCTTCCTGTGGCCGGGTGGAGGATTCCATCCAGATGTTGTTAGAACCTACGAGAAATAATTATACGTGTAAGTTATGCGGTAACACGATCGTTTAAAATTTTGAATCTTACTTTCAAACATGGAGGACATTTCTGTTCCTTGGCTTGCGGTTGTAGGGGTAACAAAGGCCTATCTTTACATCCGGGTATAATATAATCCGGTGGCGTACAGTCGACCGAATCTGCCCTGCTTTTCTTTTTCTCAAGGATGTCGCCATTAGTGACAACGTTCAGGAACGATAAACTGCTACATTCGACACCATTATAAGCGTCTGCAGGATCTACGCTCTTCAATAAATCTCGTACGTGTCGAACGTGTATGCGGGCTTCCCGCATCGTGTACGGCTCCTCCACGACTTTAATTACCGAACCTTCTTTCAAACCCTCGATGTTCTTCAGCTCGGCAAAGTTATCCAATGTATTACCATCGAGTTGAAGAGAGAAACAAGTGCGGTGACAGGTGTCCTCGCGATCCATAAGTAATTGATGAATTTCCTAAACAGAAACAAATTTGTAGTGGAAGAGAAACGTTTATTTCCAGCATTACCTAAAAAGTTAGTTACCTGTACAAGCTCCATACTGGATACTTGAATATCGAAAGGCTCTGCTCCTGGACTAACAATTTTAACAGTAAATCCCATATCTTGAATGAAAACAACTTCTTGCTCATTTGCACCATCTTTATCCTTGTCGCTATCTGCTTCCTTTTCACTTTTATCATTATTTTTTTCTTTTTCCTTTTCTTTCTCGCTTCCTTCCTCTTTTGTGGCTTCGACTTCACCCTTCTCGACAATGGTCTTCATGGTTGTGCTTATGCTTCCTGTTTCCTCCATGACTTGCTTCATACCTAAACACAATTTGCAGACGATTTAGTTGAAAGCAAAATTTACAATAGGTCAAAATAAATAAGTAACTTACATGACTAGATCTGGGAGATTATAAATTACTGAAATTTGTACAACCAAAGTATGTTTAACATTAAATGAATAAACCACTGGGTAGACAGCAACGCAGTGATACTACAGCTCGAGATAGGTGGTCTAATTATTTCTAACAGTATACAAATAAGCTATACTATATTATAAAAAATATACACCACCTCCACCCATTAACACTTTAAGAAGTAAATAAAATAGTTAGAATAACGGCAATTTTCGTACGGGGTACAATTAGGAACTGTTTATTTTTTATTTCGGTGATACAATGAAAATCTTGTACTTAAATTTCTTTGAGTACACCTATGACAACAAGGATATAAATAAGTAATTTCATGTTTGTTCCTCAGAGATCAATTATACACTTAATACAGTTTGCCCTCGAGGTACAGATAAGTTCCGATCATGTAAACAGGGTGCATTCTCGAATAGATACGGCAGTGGGTATCCGTACGGCTACCACTTACATTCACCAATGCACTTATAAATAAACGGCAATGTAAATAGTCCGTACTCAAATGCCGTACTATTTTTATCGATACCATGTTTGCGATATACATCCATTTCTAGCGTACGCTGATTTTCGAAGTACATAACATTATCAATCGCGATCGCGTAGGCGGTCTATTTTCATTATTTTCTCATGATTCCACGCCGATGGTTGCTGGCTAGGATATTTCGAATTATTCGCACACCTACGAGACCTTGATCTTCAGTGGCCTTCGAGAAAACATTTTCTATCAATCTGCAAATCCATCTCGATCCATTCTCGATTTAAATACAAAAAAAAAAATATGCACCATGTACGATACGCGATAAATCAAGATAAAACCTTGATTCATTTCAATGTTTGCTTTCAGGGAATAATATGATCGTAAAATACACTCTGACACAGCATCTTTGAAAACGAATAAGAAACGTTTATCTCTTTGTATTTTCTCCGGAATTAACCTATTCGAATTCCTCGAAGAGATTTCGTTTAACAGATTGATATTAAACTATTTTTCTGTTTATGGAACGGTATGTTTCAAGGAACTAAGGATAATAAAGCATAGAAAAACCTTGATTCCTTATTATAAGTTTTCCTCTTTTCAACAGGAGTATTATCATTATAAAGAAATTATTCAGAATAAATTATAACTATGGCTTTATCAACAAGATTAGAATATCAAAAGTAAGTGTATTCAAATAAAATGTAAAAATATACGGCCAGTTACTAGACTACAAATGGGCTGCTCTATTTCCCATAATCTTTGTTGTATCGCTTTGAACACGTCTAACAAGATTTTATTAGTTACATCTCTTAGAATAACGGTCAGATCTAAAATGTTTCGATTTCGAGACCATGACAAGAAAATCTTAACGTTGAAAGTACATATTTTATCGAACAATTCCATTACGTCGTTATAATAAGTTTAAAATAAAAGAAAAAAAAATAGAATAATGCAATTCATCGCTTGCACGAGCGTGAGAACGTACATATTCGTATACGGTGGTTTGTGTAAGTTTATTTTTCAAACCAATCGCTATCGGTGCCTTATCGCACAACATTTTACTATTCCGTATTCTAAGATTAACTCTCCTTCTATCGAAAATTCCCCCTAAAATCTTAAATTTTCGCCTTATCGGGAAAAAGATAAGGAACTCGTGAAAAAAAAAACCTCGAAGATAAGGCGGTATAGAAAAACGCGAACACGGAATCGTTATGGATTCGTTATCTTATTTTCTTTTTAGATTATATGTATATCTCTCAATTATCGAATTATTAAACACTGGCCTACTTGGACCTAGAAACCGTTGCAGTAGAAGGAATAAGTTGGACGAAAAATTTAAGGAATTTCATACGATATCGAACAAATCTATTACTAATCTATTTATTAACCATAAACTCGGAATTTACAAATACCGGAAGCAATCATATCAATCTCTATTCGCTTTACGCTTCGATTTCTTATAGTCTTGCCCGACTGTCAACATAACCTATATGTATTGCGTCCCCTTACAAAATTACATCTTACGAAGTAAATGATACAATAACCTTTAACATAAAAGGATATGCCTGTTCACTGATTAAACAAGATTGTATAATACTAATAATAGGAGCGGGATCTTGGAAGTGAGAGGTAAATTAAAAGCAGAGGTAGGAAAAATTAATATCTAGGTAAAAATTTCAAACGACGAATACAAGATAACAAACTTATTATATGACATTGGTAGTCGAATAAATTAGAATTTCAATTATACAGTGAAATATTTCAAAGTAAATTTACAAAAATTTAATTAAGGTTTTTTTTTTGTCTTTTATTATCAACATAAAATTGGTATTATCTCTGATTACAAGGAACCGCAGTTTATTCGATCGAACGACAAATTTCAAATTCGATGACAGCAATGGGTTCGCGACTCGATGTAAAATATCGAACATTTTTGTCCATGATAAATGTCGAAAAGTTAGTGTGAAAATTTCCAAAATTTTATAACGCAACTTTTCGATACATATCGTAATACGTAATTCGAACGTTAATTTCTTTGTAACTACGCCTATGCACGCGGGGTCATTAACATGCACGTGTTCTCTGTCGCATCTTTTTGAGGGAATAAGAGAGCTGTAAAATAAGAACAAATCAACGAAATGGGTCTAGTGTTGATTGACATTGACGAATAACGCATCAGCGACCCTTGGCAATAACAATTTTTTTTCCAAATTAAGAGGTTTCCTTTCAATCGACCGTTGGACATTGAAAAACAAGCTAAACATGTGGCTCCCTATTACACGCCGAGCTATCACTTCACTCGAACAAGGCACAATTCTACAATCTACATAATTTTTATTACAGATGAATATTAATTGTCAGCTTTTAAATAGTTTTAGACGTAGAATTTAGCGTAATCATTATCATTAATACTGTTGGATGCAAACCATTAGGATCGTTATCGGCAATTGGTACGGTTACTATCTTCCCGTTCAGTCAAGAAGTATCCGAAAGAGCACATGTTCCGATAAATACATCGAGAACGAATAACACGTTAGATTCTTTCGAAACGCACATCTGTTTGTTTTGTCGTAATATGATAGAAAAGCACGTTAAAAGAATTCTATGCAAATCGTTTTATCGGTGTAATGAAAAATATCGTTAAACTAGAATAAATTAAACGGTTTCATCATTTGAATGGAAACTAATCACGTGCTTTCGAGGCATTAATTTCCACGGTGTCTCGTGGAAATATCGTGACAATGCTTTCGATTTTCTGCAAGTGAAGATTAAAGGAAAATCGCGCATCGATTCGGTGACTTCGGAGCTAAAGCACGTCAAACGAAACGTTGACGAGTTCTTGTGCAACTGCTTGCAAAACGAACGGCAAGAGCACCGAGTAATATAAAAAGAGCATGGTCGCTGGAAAAAATTGAAACCATGAGTGAAAATTCGTCTGCTATCAGGGAATCGCGTCTTCTGCTAGCTTCTCTTGTCCAAAACTCGTGGCTCACATGACCCCACGGTACATAGAGATTCGCGCAATTCGCGCCGTTACATAACACCGAGGGCCCGGCTTTTGGTCGAGGCGGCATCGTTAAAGTCACACATTAAAGTGAACGGAACACGGTAACTTGACGACACCCGAATCATTACATAACGTTAGCACCGACGCCGTTTAACCTCGAAAAATCACGAAAATCGAACGACGTATAATACGAGAAAATTAACGTGCACTAACCAGTAGTCGTTTGATCTTCATTGCCGTTCAGTAGAGGGATTTTCATGCTCCCGTTTTCTGTGGAGGCCTCGATTTGTGCACCCAGTGTCATTTCCTTATTGACAATTTGTTCCCAAGTTTTGCACGACTCTTTGTTGGACAGGCACGTTCTTATTCGACGATAACACGCATGCACACCTTTCAAAATTTACCCCAAAATGAGGTTCGTCCCTTTTCGCGAGGCAGCACACTAACTCTCAGAGAACACTGAGCCGCTTTTCTCTACCGCACGTGCGTTTCGAACGAAGTACAAAGTCTAATGTGCCCGATTGGTCTCCGCCTCGTGTCGCTTATCGAACGAATCGCTCCGATTGGATTTTTCCGTCACGTGATCCACCCCTAATTTCCTTACCAGCGTTTATTATTTGTTGTTGCCGGTGTATCAAACGGTTGCGATTCCTTCTGCAGTCGAACTTTGCCGGAGTGTTCTTCGATTGGTAGCGAAGTTACTAGTCCATGTAGTAACTTTAGGTAGCGATCGTTGAAAACGGTGATCTCTGGCCCAGCTAAGAATTAAAGTTACTAGATGACGGATTTCTAACCTTACGTGGTGTCCGTTTGAATAGGTAATAGTTCCTACTTCATTTTTCCGAAACTGTTACGAAGTAACAGAAAAGTAATAGAAAAGTATATTTCGATAATTGAGATCAGAATAAATCGATCGATCCGAAGAATCGTTAACATTATCTCAAACGAAACATTATCTAGTTTTAGAATAGTGAGGTTAAGCGTCTAAGAATGTCGGCAGAGGAACAGTCAAATTTGCGCTTAGGACCCGATCCTAATGTCACTTATCCAATTCAAGTACAGTACTGTGGGAATTGCTCTCTTCCTATCGAGGTGAGACAACATTGATCCTGCATCTATCGGTACTTAAACCGTGCATTAGACGACGAGGTATCGATATTTAAATCGTTTGAAAATTTAATCTTTTTTCCCTTGTATGACAGTACTGTGAATATTATCCAGAATATGAAAAATGTAAGCAATGGCTGGAGAGAAACTTGCCGACAGAATTTGAAAAAGTTAAACTAGGTAATTACAATTTTTTTTGTAAATGAAATAGTTCTTGAAAATAACTTTGGATTACTTCACTGATTTTTTAATAGTAGAAGATAATACAACTGAAGCTGGTGGAGGTGAAGACGAAAAGAAACGCCAAAAACGTGGTGGGAAAGGTATGCTTAAAACAAAGAAGAAAGAGGATGTTCCAAAGTTGGTGACTGTATCTAGAGCACCTAGAGGAAAAAAGAAATCCGTCACAGTTGTGACTGGTCTTAGTACCTTTGGTAATAGACAATATGTATCTACAAGTACTTTATTCATTTCAAGAAAATCATTTTCTAACAAGCTACAAATTCTTTGTTTTTAATTTTTAGACATAGACTTGAAAGTAGCTGCAAAATTTTTTGGTAGCAAATTCGCGTGCGGGTCTAGCGTAACGGGAGATGACGAAATAGTTATACAAGGAGATGTGAAGGATGATTTATTCGAAGTGATCCCAGAAAAATGGCCTCAGGTAAAATCAATTATTACTCTGTATAGAAATGGAAAGTGTAATTCATTTTTAATTGCAGATCGACGAGGATTCAATAGACGATCTTGGAGATCAAAAAAGATAATGGGCCAACTAAAAATCCTACATGCACAATTGTATTTAATATTATACTATTTCCATGTTTATTATGAATAAAATGTACATAACACAAAATATTTTTAAAAGATTTATGAAGCTAAGGAAGTAAAAACATATTACCCGTCTTTGTCATCTTGCTCGTCGTCGCCTAAGAAATTTGATATCACTTGAAGTAAAGACTCTACCTCTTCGTCGTTCAAACGATCTTCGCTATCTTCCACGATCTAAGAATACAGCACAGTAAATGTAACCATAAAAAATATGTATCTTACTAGTGTTACGATAATAATATATATTACCAGTTGTATTTCAAGAGGTGTTCTAGGGCACACATTTAGAAGAGTTAATTTTTCGCATTTTGTTAATTTGAAAGGTTGCATTGCATTCAAAAAGTATTTAATTTTTTCAGGTGATTGTCTTTTACAAGGAGTCTCTTCTAAATATCTTATAGTCTGATAAGTTATAGTTGCTAAGTGATTTTGCTTCATTTTTTGCTTCTTATTTGCTTTCATATTTTGCAAAATATCCAGAACTTCGTAATTGCTTAAGTATGCTGAACATTCCTTCAGCCTGAAATAAGAAAATTTAATTGATTAAATGATAAAAAATATGAAAACAAAATAGTTACTTACACTTCCATGATGACCTATGTAAATAAAATTGAATTGTGTTGTAATTTTGTACAGGCTCAAAACAAAATATGCATAATAATTTAAGGTTATATGTTCGTATCCATTGTTATTATTTTAATATAAAATAAACGTGAACATTTATTGAAGTGAAAATGATGGTTATATGAGATGATGACATTCACGATACAACAATATATATGCTATCACTTTTTTAATACAAACAAGTTTCAATTTACGATTTCAAAGTCAATAAACGAATCGCAAGAACTTGGGCGTTTTTCCACCGGTGGCGCCACTGGTATTAAATAAAAAAGATTCTGATCGAAGCTACGAAAATTAATTCATTTTCGACCGCGAGATGGCGACCATTTCTTGGTCCATGAAACGAAACGCAGGTACATACATAAACATTGTATATAAAACAAGTATTGGTATGGTTTCATGATTTGCTGTTTTTTTAATTTACATTTTTCATGTACATATCACAGATGATAAAATCATACTTTAAACGTTTTATTAACTATGTAATGTAACAAATAATTATACTTCGATATCGTAATATACTATGTTCTGACGGACAATTATAGAAATCTTACGAACAATTGTTGTAAAACATACTTTTTACAACAACGGACAAAGAATTATTGCTGGAGACGATCGATCAACTGATTTTATATTGTAATATTTTATTGAAATCGAATGAGAAGCCGTTGAAACGATACACACGTTATATTCAGATTTACGGAATGGTAGGACTGTAGGATGTCTAAATATATGGAGATAACGTTGATCTATTTGACTCTACGTATGTGTAACACGCGTGCATGAATGCTCTCTACGATCCCAGCTGACTTTAGTTATATTTTTGTTCTCACAGGGCTGTACATCGTCGAATTGGCACCCCTTTGAAGTGTTTTAATCGTAATAAAAAAAGAAAATGAAATAATCGAATGAAATACATTGTATTATCGATCGGAAGTTTATGTTAAATGCGACATAACTCTCTAAAATTACTTTAGATAAATAGACAATATCGATTTTCATTCGTTCGCTTTTTCATCAAAGAATGATCTATGAAATTCATTTATCAAGAATATTTTACATAATTCAAGTTAATTATCGAGGTACTGTATAATCAGTATTATCACGTCTCAACTCAGAAAATTTACATTAAGAATTTTTTCGACAGAAACAGACGTATGGTTTCATTTATTATTAGACTCGGTATGCCATACAGTGCACACCGTACAGAATCTATATCGGAAACATCGTTTCCGTTTACAAGCACATTTTACGATTCTTCCAGAATCCACGGAAAATAAAGTTAAGACAAATATTACGTGTAACATGAATGTTTCCAACGATGTTCATAAATGTTATACGAACGGTGGTATTGTTTTATTCGTAAATTCGTGAGAACTTTAGGTTATGGGCCTCGCGAGTTTTAGTCACGTGACTGCCGATGTTAACGCGACCTCTATGCGCGATCGTCTGACATTTTGCGACGGCAACTGTACGACATAGTGGGTGCTCCGTCGTGTTTTGTATTTTCGAGTATACTCTATCGACAGTGTGGTGATACGACTTGACGATTAGTGTGACCCTCATGGGGGTGGACAAGATGTAGATCGACGTCGTCTTTCCTCGTTAAAGACATTGCCGATGAAGGGGAACGACTGTGGAAGAAGGAACAGTACAGGTCGCGACTTTTCTTATAACGCGTATCGATCTTTCGCAAGCGATGCATCTCCCTTGCCTGTCGTCCTATGTTTATAAACTGTTGACCTTGCCTGAAGAAGATCGGTGAAACATTCTCGATCGCCGAATTATCACGATCAAGAATGGAAATCGTCGGCGACTACGAGTACCACACGAAAGATCTGATAGGCCACGGCGCATTCGCCGTAGTCTTCAGGGGTAGACATCGTAAAGTGAGTTTTCTTTGGTTTTTCTTCGCCTTAACTCTCTATTGTCATGAATTTTATTTAATCTTTCGAACAAGAAACGATCTCCTGGTGATTTATACAGGTGTCTATAAAAAACCTAGTCTCCTTAAGCCATTTGGCATCAGGAACTGGAACGTATTGTTACTCGTATCACTGATTGTGAGCGTGGAATGATCTACAAGTAACAACCTTTTTGAAACTCATTTGGATTGGTAATCTAAATATGCTATACTCGCGAATTGTGTTCATTTAATGATGTAGTTTTCCTTATGTCTGTGGACTATATTGCGCTTAGCAATACAGGAATTGTTTTTCTCATATTCTTGATTAATCACATTGGACGATAGAGGGTTAAAATATGATAATCAATTGAATTTTAAAAATGATTAATATTCTTTTTCTGTGCAGAAACTAAATTTTATAGTGGCAATCAAAAGTATCACCAAAAAGAGTCTGGCAAAGTCACAGAATTTGCTTGGAAAGGAAATCAAGATTTTAAAGGTCTGTCAATATAATATTTAAGGGTGCAATGCATGCCATGGCTTTCCATTTAATTTTTTACATTTGTATTCTTATTCCAGAAGCGAATGGTTTTGCGTCTGTACTGCATTTATTATTTTTAGTAAAATTATGTTACAAATACATTGCCTCAATTTAGCTTGCAAGGAACTCATTTCAACACGTTTTAACTAAAACAGTGAATCATAAGAGTATAATCCTTCCTTCATATTTCATAAACTAATTATTAAAAAGAGCACAATATTTACTATGGGAAAAGTTTGAAATTTGAAATAAAGTTATTTTTTCTGTAAAGTTATTTAAGATTAATTTAAAGTGTTTAAAAGGAAAACGAATTTATTTTGTGTTTTAATAATGGCTGTACAATGATTTTCATTGTTGACTAATACGTTACATTTCAGGAACTAACAGAATTGCATCATGAAAATGTTGTAGCATTATTGGACTGCAAGGTTAGTATAATGCTTTTGCTATTAAAGATGGAATAGATTTGATATACCTATAGAGTTTACATAACAATGTTTATGTGTTAATCCATCCATAAATTTATGGTTTAGGAGTCTAATCATAATGTCTTCCTGGTTATGGAGTATTGTAATGGTGGGGACTTAGCCGATTATTTAAGTGGTATGTTCTTGTACAAAATTTTTAATGCAGTATTCTAATCATATCTACAAAAGTATTATTTTATCTTTATTGCTTCTATTAGCAAAAGGTACTCTTTCCGAAGATACTATCAGAGTGTTTTTGAAGCAATTAGCAGGTGCAATGAAAGCACTACATGCCAAAGGTGTAGTCCACAGGGATCTTAAGCCACAAAATATTTTGCTCAGTCACAATTGTGGTAAAGCTTGTCCACAACCTCATCAGATAACATTAAAAATTGGTAAGAATTTATCCGCGATAAGTTTAACTGTAGTTCATTTACATTCAAGGTATTAGTGTTTTAATTGTTATTATATATTTTTTTTGTTTCAGCGGATTTTGGTTTTGCTAGGTTTTTACAAGATGGTGTTATGGCTGCCACTTTATGTGGATCGCCGATGTATATGGCACCCGAAGTTATAATGTCGCTTCAGTACGATGCAAAAGCAGATCTCTGGTCTCTAGGGACAATAGTTTTTCAGTGTCTTACTGGAAAAGCACCGTTTCAAGCTCACACACCTCAAGCTTTGAAATTGTTTTACGAAAAAAATGCAAATCTCGGACCCAAGTATGAGACTGAATAAGACTAATTGTGGCAACATATGTATACGAATCGTTTTATGTATTTTAATCTTTTTTGTATTAGAATTCCGCCTGGAACATCACCCGAACTTTCGGATCTTTTGATGGGTCTTTTACGACGCAATGCCAGAGATCGTATGCCTTTCGATGAATTTTTTGGACATCCTTTCCTCCAAGGTTCCAGAGAAAGTCCGAGTCCAGTTCCTGCTGAACTACCTGCTTCCCCGGGAACGCTAGCAGTTCCAGAAGGAGGTCCGGCTGTTATAAGATCAGAGCCGGAGACAACTAGTCCGTGTTCCAGTCCTGAGGATGACTTTGTACTTGTGCCAAGTGATCTCAGTAGTGACACAGACAATAATCCTAACACGCAACAAGTTAAGTAAGTAATTTAATTGTATCCTGGAAAGAGTCATCGTAATTATTCGCGATATTATTTTACCGTCAATTGCCTAGATATGTTAAACAAACAAGCAGAGAGGCGGTAAGTCCACCAAGACCATGCTTTCTTCCCATTTCGGAACCAATTCCCGTTCCATCCCAGAAAAGCATTGCACAGCCGTCGTCTCCTTGTACCAATACAAGGTCTGGAAGTAGCGTCGTTCCACGATCTCAACCTATCAGTATGAAACGCGGTGTGGATTCCCATAGAAGTCATGCTCCTGACATCGGTTCCCTTAGTCCACCTAGCGTTCAATTTGTCATTGGTACACCACCCAGCAGAAGGTACGCGAGTTTCATTTCTACTTATTTTATTCGTTTTGCGCGTAATATTATACAATTGGGATAATTTTTAGATTAAGCGAAACACCTCCACCCCCAAATACGTGGCAAGTGAGTCCTGTTGCGAGACATTCGCATACTTCCAGTGGTACGTCACCGTTACGACGTTCAACTGGAAATAATAGCGCATCGTCGCCGTTACTGACAGGACCCTTGGCAGTATTGGGTTCACCTACGTCGAGAGCATTTCAAGATAACAACAACACATTGAGGCATTCGCCCGTTATTCCCTTCGGTACAAGAGCCGTTACTCTTCCTGAGATATCTGGTATTTAATTTGGATCATCCCCGGCTCAAAGTTGGCCACATTTTTATCCAAATAAAGCATTCGAATAAAAATGACTTATCTTGCTTCATATTGAATTTTCAGAAGCAGGAAGTTTCCAAAATCTTCTACCAGACATTAATCCTACGATAACAGATGATCGTCCATTGACGTTCATTGCGCCCGAGCTCCCAGAGGAAACACTATTGGAACGAGAACACAACGAAATATTAGCGAAGTTAAACTTTGTTGTTGCATTGTGCGAATGTGTATGTGAAGTAGCGAGGACAAGAGCAGGTCCGTTGGGCGCGCCTTTAGGTGGCATCGAACAAGCGAGCAATGCCGTGACGAGAAGAAGAGCCGAACAAGTAATTCTACTCGTTAGAGCTCTTCAGTGGCTTAGTTCTGGATTAAGTCTTGCGATTCAACAGCTGAAGGCTGGCAGATTACAACCAACTGCGAACGTTAAAGAAGGTAAAACTTTACGTAGTTACATTGAGTATAATTTTTTTTAAATCGGATTTTTAAAATTCGACGTATCGAAATTTCATTGTGTTTCAGTTGTGAATACAATGAATGAGAAATTCAAATCGTGCCTCTCAGAATGTAAGCAGCTCAATAGCGCTGGGCTTCTCCATCAGACAGGAGCCACAGCAGATAAAATCCTCTACAACCATGCCATACAAATGGTACACGTTCGATTAATTTCGTTATTCGTTATACGAATATACGCGTATATATTTACATATATATGTTTTTTAACAGTGTCAGTCAGCAGCACTCGACGAATTATTCGGTAATCCTGCAGAATGTTTCCAACGCTACCATACAGCGCAGATATTGTTGCATTCTTTATCACAGCATGTCAGTCACAGTCAAGATAGAGCTCTCCTTATTAAATGTAATTGTTTTTTTGAAGATAATAGCCATTTTTTTTCACTAATTTTGATAGGGATATCTTAACTCGATATACTAAGAAGTAACGTACTCTTCATTTCAGACAAAGATGCCGTTGAGAAACGTTTGTACGTTCTTCAGCAACAAGGTTACATTTATGCAACAGATCCTACATAGCACTCGTGAAAAACGGCAGCAGAGTGCAGCGACCCGCCCGAACCCGTACCGTATTCGATATCTCTCTTGTGTAAGATATTCTGCCCTATTCTGTATAAAAGATGTTAATTCATTGATCATACTACAAAGATAACATTGTAGAAATAAAAACAAAACTAAGATTTAAGCGTAATATAGTAAACTTTGTTAGATCTACGCAGAATAGGGTAGATTATCCCATGAGAATACAAAAGTGATTCTTTACAGGTTTCTTTATATGATTTTATTAATGATGCGAATTATGATTATATATGTAATATATATATTATATGTGTATAATATATATATTATGTGTGTATAATATATATTGTAATGTACGTATGGTTGATTAACTAACCTTTATTTCATATCAAATAATAAAAACATGTATACTAACAGCATTGTGCGTTCAATACAAGGCACGTTTCTTATTCAATAACAGTGATACAAGTGTAAAAGAAGCAAGTAAAGTATGAAGCACTATTTCATTAGGTGACATTCTATGCTAACGTTAGTAAGTGTTAATCCTTTTTTTCATCTGTAATTGCTTTTACATCCGGCTTATTATCTCGGTAAATTACATAGTTTAATGCTGTAGCTAGAGAGGTCCATGCTAAATATGGAATGACTAAATAGCCAGCAATTGGATTTACTCTGTAAAATGCAATACCCATTGCTGCAGTGCTTCCCCATAATACTGCGATTTCATACAAAGCCTAAAAGTACAACAGATGTAAGTGATTAGAGCCATCATTGAAACATGATGACACAGTTAATTCTATCAAAGTACCAATTTCAAGTTGTGTGATCCAAAGAATATAGGTGGCCATGCCCAATTTAGTATTAAATTAGTTCCATAAATGGAAAGTGGTATTGCAGCCTCTTTGAATCCACCACCATCTCTCCATACTAAATACGAAGAGTATCCCATTGTACAGTATAGAGTTGTCCAAACTGGAGCAAACATCCATTTTGGTGGTGTCCAAGTAGGTCTTTTTAAAGTCTATTATATATCAAGCAAAAAAAAATTAATTAATTTCAAAACAATATTAAAAAATATCAAGAATATTTTAATAATAGCTATCATTGAAAATGCTAATCTAATATCTTATTAACTGGAAATCATTCTCTGACAATTCAAGAAATATTGATACAGGTATCTTATCATTAATAGTAATGTCCTTCAAGTTTTCATTACATATTTTCTTGGAAATTATTATCTATGAGGAAATTAAAGAAAGCTTACTTAGTTTATCTACAGGTAAGTATCAATTCATATCAATTACATTCAATTTAACTTGACAAGGTTAATTTTGTCTCTTACTTTTTAAAAATATTTTATGATGTACTTATATCTTCATTGTTGACAAATTCCAAGCCTTTTCAGAAATAAATCATTGATAATCGAGTTAATAATGCTTAATTACTAATAACGATTTTTAAAAATATCGATTGTATAAGTAGAATTTGCTATAATTCCAAATGAAAATATTTTTATATATCTATGTAATTACATGCATTTATATACATAGCCATGAATTGCACATTTGAAATGACGTCATTCGAAATCATTTTTACGGAATTACATAAATCTTTCAACTACTTTCATTTTACAATGCTTCCGATTTTCCATCGTACGTGACAACCTAAAATTAATCAAAAAATTTTGAACTGAAAAGTGTTCTGCACTTATCGATTAGAATAGCTCGACTCTATTTCGTGTTACGCGACTGGATTTAAACAGTTCTACGAATTGATCAATTTAATTACCTCGTACCAAGGTTGAATATTTTTTCTGGTGATGTATCCGCTAGCCCAACCGCCGATATTTGGATGGATAACACCTATTACAACTGGCCATGATATTTTTACAGGCATTTTACTTACAAAGAGGTGCTTGAGGTTTCTTCGCGATGTACTTATCGAATGTCGATACCAGAGAGTACACACGACCGCGTACGATAGAACGTGAAACCACGTACTACGCTATGACCGAATGTTTTCCAGTAGTGTAACTATTATAAAGATTATGAACGCACTTACGGGATATTACTGTTCGTACATCTGCTTCCTGCATTGGTTACCGTAACTAATGCAATTTTGTAAGGCTCCTGGCCCTTGAGCAATGCACCGATTACAGTTTAAACATTCCCAATTACAAAAGCTACTATTAAAATTACTCGCTCTGCTATCGTTATTGATTGAGCTCATTACTTTGCCAAATTTAGAATTTTATTACATACCTGTAATTTGTCTTGTAAAACGATGGTTCGTACGATTTCCTATTGCAGGAAGCTGTACTGAAATCACAACCAGATTACTTAGAAATTTTCAACGTATTGGGAAGTAAATGTTGTGTATATTAAAACGTACTTACATACAAGAACGATCCATTTCCACTCAATTCGCATGTGTTACAGGTGTAGAATATATAATATCGAGACAAAGTCAGTCATGCATACATCATTTATTCGATTCAAAAGTTTCTGTCACACTATCGCAGTACAGGAAAGACATTGGTGGAATAAGATCGAATAATTTACCAATATAATTTACCAATCGTAAATCGGAAGTTCGCTAACTTTCGGAAGAAAAAGAAGCGGTAATTGAGATAAATGGAATGTTTCTCGTACTGCTTGGTAATTATTTTTATTAAAAAAAAATCCGATAAAAAATCGTATCTATCGTTTCTAACGTATGTAATAACGATTGCAAATTTGTTATTTTATTTAATGTTAGGCGAGTGGTACCACTTTTATTTACACATATAACTTAATAGATACATTATGAACAAATAATAATTATATTACATACATTTTTGGAGTATCATGCATAACAATTTATAAATGACTATTATGTTAGGAGCAGAGTGAGTATTGAACATTCAAATGTGTGCGTGAGTAAATGTTTCTTCAATTAAATTATATATTTACACGAATTAAAACTGTTACTAAAATTAGAAAACACGCTGCACACGGCTATGTAAATTCTATTTTACATACAAAACTATTGTGTTTTGCTTTCGTCGACTGTAATGTATTATTTAATTATCACTGAAATTTTTGAGAACTAGGAGAAAATGAAATGTCTATATAAATGCCCTTAAATGTAAGCAAACGATCGATAAATTTCAAAAATAGTATATCGTATCACCATTTCTTGGAACTTCGAATTAAGAAATCTTTTAAAACATTAGGAATTCATAAAAATAATTAAGATTTTAAAATAAATTAATAAAATGTCGAGGTGTGTACCCAGATAAATAAAATCTAATGTATGCCTTAATTTCGGTATACCATATCAATATCCACAGAAACTAACGTTATGTATAACCAAAAAATTAAAGTTTCTGGAAATATAAAAACATAATTTGTTTCTACATTACAATTAGCTGATATATAATTAGTTCTATGCTCGGCGATACATGTAGAAAGACGTCGGCACGTAGAGGAAAGAATCATTTACGATACTTCAACTACTTTTTGGTATATTATGTAATTGTCTATACGGAACTAAAATATCTAACTACTCGTTTTTCCAGGATACCGTTAATGTTTTTCCACAGATTTTTTCACACATTCGTCAACTTTACTTCGTACTTTATTTGTCTGTCATACTCGCCTAATCAAACATTGCATTCGAGGTGTACTAATGTCCTTTCACTCGGATTTTTGATCTTTAACATCTTTCTCGTTATTCGCTTCTACTTTACGCTCGGGTTTAGAACAAAATACTCCCGGGAGATGATCTCTCATACGTTGTCTCAATTTTTGAGGAATTACCATACAAGTTGTTATCAAATTACCTAGGAACAGTACTAAAAACATGCTGCTAAGGACTGGAACATGCCATGTAGCTTCTGGGTGGGATATTAACGTGTACAATACATATGCGTTATACAATTGAAATAAGTATCCAACAAACAAGAATGGCAACAAAAATGAAAGTCCACGCCACATCCACGAATGAAAACCTTCGATAGTAATATCCATATTATGCCTTTCGCCTAATGCTTTCAAGCGGTATAACACACCGCGTTGATAACAGAATTGCAAATACTGCACTACACCTGCAAATTAAAATAATGACGTTGTCATTTATAGCGATCAATTATAAGAATATATCTTTTGGTACTGTGAGCAATTAAAATAATTTAAAGTAACTTACTAATATACACATTGAACCACATAAATTGTTGTCGAAATGCGTACCACGGCCCCGTGTTAGGCCATACTAATAGAACACCGGATACGACGGTTGAGAGAAAATGATGAAATCTCCACCAACCTTTGATTTTCGAACCGTTTACTTTTAATATACTTTCTCTTATTGTCAACGTACAGTAGTACCAAACTAAGAGGAACATAAAACTGAGTTCCAAAGTTCTGTAACATACATTATTGTTGAACGTTAATTCGTAAAATTATAATAGCTTACATAAGTTGTAATACAAGATAAATTGTGTTCATCTTACCTGACATTGGTGACTAGATTTAATACGGATAGAATGAACCCAATTACAGAGAGGATTAACTTAAACTTTTCATACTCATCTTTGTACTTGAACCTAAGAAATGTAGTAGAATAGTTTAATCATATATTTTGAAAATCATTTAATCAAAGGTATGGTACAACCAAACGTGTACTCACTTATCACTTCTGTTTAATATGGAAACATTAACGCTGCCTAAAATAATTTGAAGGTACGTGCCATTTCGTTTTGGCAATGTCTGTTCCATTTCGTGTAATTGCTCTTCTCTTCTGGCCATATCTTTAGCTAAACTTTTCCTTGCATCGCTTGCGTGCAACCTACAATTGATTTCTTTTCTTATTCAAAGAGAACAATTATAATAAATTCATCGTAATCGTGTACTTACTGTTTGAGTGATTTTGATATTACACCCATCCTGTACCTCTGGTGAGAAATACCTTTTAAACATTTTGCTTGAAGTTCGCTTATTTCCTCTAATTTTGCAAGGTACTCTCTGTTTAATACCTGTTAACACAAGTAAGAAATATCGTCGTACCGTGAAAAACATTTGTAGCTTTTTTTGCAATATGGAAGAAATGTCTAATAGATTTGTATAAACAGCGAGTAGAAAATAAACATAAAAGGAAGTTTTTTTTGACGAAACTTCAAACGCATTCACGTAGGTACAATCAAGAGGAAAAAGTTGAAATTTAATTTCGTATTATACCGAAAATTTCCCGAGTACCGGTTTCAAGTATCGTTGTGGATAAACAAAAAGTACACTTAACCTCGAATAAAAGTAATCCAACACGTTAATCACCGACAACATTGGTAACAGAAATTAAGAAAAAATCGTCTTACTTCTAAGTCCTTATAATCTTTCGCTAAGTCGTTCCAGTCTTTTAAACAGGACTCGACATCGGTGTCCATCGTAGCGAGAAAAAAATGACGATGGTTGAAATCACGCCAGGAAGTAGGAATTCAAGTACAGTGTAATCGTGTTCCTGGGGCTGACCAGTTCCTCGTAGATGCTCGTGGATCTAGCGACAGAGTGCTCTAGAACCCGCGTACCGATTATCGCGATCTTCAGGGCCGACGTATGATAAGACTGTATTTCGAATATTTGATAGGGTGGTGGGGAAGAATAATTTTATTTTAGGAACATCGTTTAGCAAAAATTCAACGCGATCTTTTTAAGTGTTGCAAATCGAAGGAAACAAATGTTCGAAGAATATAAAAAATATTTATGTTCTTCGAGAATCTCGAGAATCGAACGAGTACCTGCGCGAGAACATTGAGAAATGCTAATTGATGACGAATCGAATACAAAAGAAATATCAATACTCTGAATACGTAAACGTTCCTTTTGCTTCTTACACGATTGTACTAAGTGATATTTGAATACGTAGCGAACATGTTACTCGATGTTTACGGAATAGTACTTGGCCGTCGTAATCGTGAATAGTCGGAGGCAAATTAGGCATCATGCTCGATGACGATGATACGCAACTAAACTATTTCCTAACTGAATCGACTGATTCGACTTATATAATTTCACTGATAACTTTTGGATATCGTATTCGGTATCGTTGAATTAGATTCTACTGTTGCGATACAGAGTTTATTCGACGTTGATTAAACGATTTGAATTATTCGTTGGAATAAAATCGTGTCGAGTAGTTGTTAAGCATTCGTTAACATTGGAACGTTTTCGATCGATATGTCTCCTTTATAGTCTTACTGCACTTGCAACGAGTCTCGAGGCTTGACGAGTACATGAATCAAGGATAACAACAAAAGAAACTGCGAATAAGAATCGATGAATCACTGTTATCTAATTATAACGAGGTTATTGGCATTTATCCGATCATAGCGAATACGTATGCAGTTTAATATAGATTAGAGATCGTAGATCGCGAGAAGCAAACATCTCCAAAGACTATCTCTATAATCGGTACCATACATATGTACAGGGTGTCCCAAAAGTCGGGAAGGAGCCGGAAACGGGGGGTAGCTGAGACGATTCTGAACAAGAATTTCCTTTGTAAAAATGTCGGATGGGGCTTCGTTAAGGAGATATTAACCAAAAACCTCGACCAATCAGAGCGCGCGTAGACCGTTCGAGCGGCCGCGGTAGCGAAGGCTACGCGCTAGGCGGCAGCGTCAATGTCCTTCTATGCACGTCGAGTCACTTGTTCGCGTACAAGCGCGACCGCCAGCGCGTAAGCCTTCGCTACCGCGGCCGCTCGAACGGTCTACGCGCGTTCTGATTGGTCGGGGTTTTCTCTTAATATCTCCTTAACGAAGCCCCATCCGACATTTTTGCAAAGGAAATTGTTGTTCAGAATCGTCTCAGCTACCCCCCATTTGCGGCTCTTCCCCGACTTTTGGGACACCCTGTATAACGAAACAAAACCCAGAGCCTTACGCGTTACATGTTTAATCGACACACTTATTTCGTCCTTCTCGTTCATTCACATTTATACTAATACGAACTGCTCTCGTTACATTCATAGTATCTATCGCAGAATCTCTCCGCTTTCGAGGAGCACAATGCAGTCTGCAATTTTACGCCGTGTCCTGTCGCATCATGTTGAACACGCGAATTTTTTCACGGTCGTTGACCAGACAAACGAGGGGGAGAGAGAGAGAGAGAGAGCTCCTTGCCGAACGCGGAGACAAAAGTGCTTTGCAGTCTCTTGGTAAACAAGTTGCTTTATATTCAACCTATCGCACACCATGTCACGATTCCTCCAGCAATGATACTTTGACCTCTCGTCGCCACGGGAAACGTCGCACGCATACACGTCGTCATCTTCTGGTGAATTTAATTGCAATTAGGGCATTCCGTTGCACGTGCACAGTGTACATGTTTGAGTTGCATCGCATTTATAAACTTGTATATAACATTGGATTGTGTCATAAGACGTGGTGATTCTCAACAAACAAAATAACACATTTTCCGCGCGATCACCTCAAACGCGCATCTCTCGTGCGCTTACGTTCAAGTTTCTCGTAAGCATAAGTTTCTCGAGACACACTCGTATCTGAAACTAAGATCGACGTATACTGGTTTCCATCAATCTTTTTCCTTTTTTAAAAATAGACTCTGACGGCTAAGGTATTCAAAACCTGAGTTTCCGTCCGATCGGAGTATCGGTTGCATTATTTATAAACGCTATCGAGTCGTTCAAAGTCGTCGGGCTTTATTCAACTTCGTAAACGGAACATCTGTTTTTTCATCTATTCAAATTGCATCTGTCTCTGCGTTCCGAATAAAGACTGTTTGCGAATGATAAATGAGATCGAGATACCGTGACATTTTTACGGAACGAAGTATACGCAAAAGAATTGTTTACAATATCTTTATATAAAACGCTTCTTATACTTCGAAGTCTCGTACAGTAATAAAAAAAAAAAAAGCGATAACAGACATTTAGTCGACGATGCCTCTTGACATTTTAGAGGCAACGATGCGTCGAAAGTACAACAATATATACTCTTTTTTCTACTAAAGCTAATACAAAAAAAAAAAAAGAAGGGAATTCCGTTACTTTGAAAACCGTGTAAATCGAGGGTTACCAGTGTGATCCCCACCACGATGTGAGAAGTTTCAGCTGGAGATTTAAATATCTTCGAAACTGTTTAACAGTGTGCAGTGGTCGACGCTATAGTCTCGGGATAGCCACGATCAGACCGTGAGAAAGTGTCACTGCTCGGTTGGACAATTAAATAGCTGAGCGACGCGTTTCGCGGGGTACGACGAATTCCTTTGATAACAAAACAGTGCAGATCGTTGTGCATTTTCTAATTGAAGATTTACAAAGCCTCGCATATACTGACCCTTTACAAAGAAAACAAATCAAAAGAAAAGTCATATGTATAGTAATTATGTTAATTACGACATCGCTGTAATCGGTAGAAAATACGAACACAACGAATCACGGAGGCGAAGCAATCTTCGGTGGAAGAAAGTGGAAACCTGCTGCGGAGGGGTAAACGGCTTCTAGATAACGGCATAGTAAACGGTATTCGAAGTTCTTCACGTGTAAACCGTCCTGCAATCAGCGTACACCATAAACGTGATTTTCAGTGAACTCTCGAAATCGTACAATCCGATATTTCCTGTTACCGTACTCGTTTCCGGTCGCGGTTGCCACTCGTGGTAGTGTTCGATTGTGTCGTAGGTCGATACGGTTTTCTACAAGTAAAAATATTTGAATTAAACGATGCTCTGAAACTTGGATATGAATGAGCAAGGGTTAGATAAAATACCGTTTCTAACCTTAAATCATGTCGAGGCGTAAAAGATGTATCCAAATAAGTTGTTATCGGTAGGATGTCCTCGCCGACATTTACCTTAGCATCGACATAATTCAAACATCGAATATCAGTGAGACTTGGAGAAGACAATACTAAATAGTCAAACAGTCCGGAGTTGTGCGTTATTCGAATAAAATCGAACAAATATCTATACGTAGTTGATATTAATTAAGACTAAAAGTTTTGTTTACTTCTGAAGAAGCTAGATGTAATGCTCGCACAACGTCGGGATGTCTTACGCAAAAGAAACAGCTGCGGTTAATGTCAACTATGAAGCCTGAAACGTCTCAGAATTAGTCGAATTGTACACGTAATATACGAATTAATCGAATTACTCATACTTGGAATTGTCGGCAACGTTCTCATCGATTTCCAGAGATATCAAGCATGACACGAGGGCAGGAAAACGTTCGTAAGATCACGTCCACCTTCTGGCGAAAACGATACGTCTGCAAAATAGTAGTATCGAATTGGACACGTACGGTCGATGTAAAAGGATCCTACCAGTAATCGTGCTGATCGAAAGTAGGTAAAGCAGATCTGTCCGTCGGTGGTGCAGCAGAGAAAATGAACGTCGCGCGAAATGTTTTGAAAACAGCGAGATCGAACAGCGTTCGAAATGGCGTCGCGTCACCGAATCTCGTGGTGGGTTGCAGCTATGCAGGCGCATCGCGATCGCCGAGAATCGACGATTTATCCGATATCTCGAAGACTACGGTAGAGAACGCAGATAAATCGCACGATCGAAACTATGGGACTGCGGCGACGGCGGATAACGGAAGTGTGCCGCAAGAAGCTCCAAAACCGCGCGGACTTCCTGTCATCGGAACGCTCCTCTCCTTCCTGTTTTCGGGAGGCGCGAAACGTCAACACGAATACGTGGACAGAAGACACAAAGAACTGGGTCCTGTTTACAGGGAACGCATCGGACCGATTTCAGCGGTATTCGTAAATTCACCGCACGAATTTAGGAGAATATTTCGACTGGAGGGTCACGCGCCTAAACACTTTTTACCGGAAGCTTGGACGCTCTACAACGACATTCGGAAGTGCCGGCGTGGTTTACTCTTTATGTATATTACTGACGATTTGTTTTGAAAGTTTCGATTTATACGATGCACCCTGTATGCTATAAGTTCAGTTACGGATGCTCGGACGAAACGAAAGTAATAATTGATGTGTTCGAACAGGAACGGACAGGAATGGATTCATTTCCGTAAGATATTGAATAAAGTGATGCTGGTACCGGATGCATCGAATTTAATGGCTGGACCGTGTCAAGAGGTGGCTGAGAGTCTTAGGCGGAAATGGGAAAAGCAAATCGAAACCGACGCGATTATACCGGACATACAGGTTCAACTTTATCGATGGTCTATCGAAGGTAAAAATAAATCGTACCTCGATATCGTAAAATATAATCGTAACCGTAGAAAAGTAAAGAATGATTTTTGTTCGACAGCGATGGCGGCCGTTTTGATGGGTTCCTCGTGGGATTTTCACGAGCAGCAATTATCGCGAGACTTCGACAAATTGGCGAGAACGTTGCATAGGATATTCGAGTATTCAGCTAAATTGTCCATAATGCCAGCTAAGCTAGCGATGAATTTACGGTTGCCAGTTTGGACGAAATTCGTCGCGTGTGCTGACACAGCTTTCGAAATCGTTCGGCTTCTGGTACCGGAAATGATTCGGTTAGGTGGCGACGGTCTTTTGAAAAAAATGATGAGCGAGGGAATTCGGAAGGAGGACGCGATTTGTATTGTCACCGATTTTATATTAGCGGCTGGCGACACGGTATGGTCAACGTTGAATACGATACTATAGCAATAAAATACAGATAATTTTCGTTGTTTTCGATTCTCAATTCTGCGTTACAGACAGCGACCACTCTCCAATGGATATTGTTGCTGATGTGCAATCATCCCGAAAGACAAGAAGAACTGTTTCATTGTCTGAAGGAGTTGTCGCAAAAAGAACTGCTACGCAATTCTCTATTGAAAAGCGTAATCAAAGAATCGCTAAGATTATATCCTACCGCCCCGTTTATTTCGCGATACTTGCCGGAAGACAACGTGATCGGTAATTACTTTGTGTCAAAAGGGGTAAATGAATTTATTACTGTGATATTAGAAACAAGCATAGATAGAGAAAAAGAATAATGCTGACTGTTGTGTAATTTTTGATTACAGGAATTGCTCGTGTTATCAATTTATTCGAGCGGCCGCGACATCGCGAATTTCTCACGACCGAATGAGTTCCTACCAGAAAGATGGATTAGAACGGAAGAAGGCACTTACCGAGGTGTATTGAACCCGCACGCGAGTCTGCCGTTCGCTTTAGGTGCGAGAAGCTGTATCGGACGGAAACTCGCAGAAATACAGATATCGCTTGCCTTGGCAGAGGTACGCGAACGATTGGAACAATGACTCTTAATCTGTTTACAGAACTCAGTTATTGATACATTTTTATGTCGAACATTCTAGCTGGTCAAATCGTTCAAGATAGAATGTGTAAACAAGGATCGAGTGAAGCTCATTTTGCACATGATTTCCGTCCCCTCGGAGCCAATAAAGTTGAAATTATCGCGAAGAGAATGAAGAAAAAAAATGGGAGAAAAAAGGAAGAACGTCAGGAAAGTAAAGTATTTCATTCATGTAATCTTTTTCGCTTCATCGATTGTTACTGTATTTTAATCGTATACATTATAAACGAATAAGCTAATTCCAAATACTTTCTCCACATTATATACAATACCATTAGTGTTTTAATATATATTTTCGAATCAAATTACATCTATTAAATGTATAATTATTAATATACATCAATTCCATATTTTAAAATATATTCACAATGAGTATAATAGGGGTACATAACAAATAAAAGGTTTTGTAACATAAAAGTCTCGTTAAGTTTTTCTCGCTTGAGAATGCGGATCGTACGATCGAATGTTCGTCTATATCGCTACTATTAGTAACTATTGTCTAACAGAACGTTGTTGATAATTGCTCTCGCGTCGTTTAAAAATTCACGGAAACTTTCGTTGATGGAAAAGTCATGAAATGCTTGAATTCTTTCAGATTTTGTCATCGTCGCTGTGAGAAAGTGTTTAACACAGTAAGATTTTAGTTCGTGGCAAGAATTAGCTCGCGCCCAATTCCAGGCTCTATTGATGTTTTTGTAGTTCAATTTAGAGACCGAATTTTCCGTCAGGATATCCAACATTTTGGGCATGAGGAACTTGTCGGCAAGTAGCGCAGCGTCCAGCAAAGATTCGATGGTCCTGTTCTCGAAAGTCCCGCCGTACGTGACCAGCAATAACGTGTCAAGAGCTTCCTTCGACGTGTTTCGTAACTTGACGCGTTTCTTGCCCGATTCCGAGAAGTTTCCTTCGAGCATGGCGGAAAAGACATCGGACTTTTGACAGAGCGTATGTCTGCAAGCATCTACGGTTGTACCATCGTCCAGTTCGAACGTGACCATCGCGGGTTTCGGATGACTATCGTACACTCTTGGAAAATCAGTCGAAACGGTATCCGTAACTTGACACTTGTCTATAATCTCGGGCTGAATCTGTAGCGTGTTCGCTAGCCGACAGATCGACCAAATAGCATTTTCGTGAAGGTTGTGTTCCTGGTCGGAGAGCACGCGAAATATTAACGCAAGACCTCCGTAATCGTCCAATAGAGATTTTAGATCGTCCCCATCCTTAATTAGGAATGGTATCGAAATTGCGATTACTAATTTATGAGCTTCGTCCCCACGACGTAGTATAGATGTAAGTTGATCAATTACTTCGCAAGTTTGTGCTAGCGTACATAGCTGTCTTGTGTACTGCTCCGAATCGTATAATGTTTGAGCTTCGAAAACGAAGCCCTGCTTTAACAATGGCAACAGGTACGCTCTGTTTCTGTACAAAAGATAATCACTTTAATTAATGCAAATTTCATTTGTACAATGGATTCATCTTACTTACCTTATGATTCTAGTTAAAATTCTAGATGCTTTCGGGTTTTTGGCATGTTTAATATAACTCGATAGAGCTTCGATGGTTGTCCGGTCGGCTAATCTTTCGATTGGGTCCTTCCAATGACTCAGTTGACTTAGCAGTATTAACGTCCAAGCATCGCAACAATTTGATCGACTACTGTTTTCGGAATTCTGACATTCTTCTACATCTATAGTTACCGATTTACAACTTTTTAACGATTCCACCTCTTCTTGGGGTTATGAAAAGAAGCAAAATTTGTCAACAAAATAAAAACGATGGAAAACTTTTATACGTCGGATCACTTTTTAAGAATTTACCATCTTCGTTATCCATAATTTCTGTATCGCTACAAACTGGACTGTAATTATCTTCTGCATTTTCATCGTTTTCTATAGAATCGTAAAAAGGTAAGGGAGGTGTACTAGGAGGTGACGAAGAAACGCTGGTTGCGCTACCTGGGCTCCAATCATCCCGATAATAGTCTGAACTAAATCTGTAAAATAGAAATATAGTTTTGGGTTGTATATTTCTTGCAACATTAAAATTAAAATAATCGAATGAACAAACCGTCCTAAATTAGTCTTATTGTACTTCAACTGCGTTTGTCTGGTCGGAGAAGAATCGTTTCCTCTTTTTTTCGAGACGTGAGTCTCTTCGTTCGCCACCGCTTCGGTTACCATTTTTTGTAATCTGCTTACTAAAACGTCGAGTAAACCATGCCTCATCATAATTACGATACTTGGATTATCGTAAATAAATTGTACAAGAGCATGTAATAACATGGGGTGATATTTTTCATATTCAGGATCTTGTAGCAAGGATAACATTAATTCTAGACCAGATCCTAATCTAATTCTTGCACGATTAACAGCTTCTCTACACAATAGACACAAGCTGGCTAACGTTTCTTTAGACAGCCCTGGGTGATTTTTAATAATAATTGCAATAAGACTTTCGATAACACCAGAATTTCCCAAAATTGGACGACATTCTGCTATTTGGCAAAGATTGAACAGACATTTAACAGCGATTTTATTATTTCTTTCGCAACATTGTATAATGCATTTATAGCCTTGTAAATATTTTTCTCCTTGTACTTGTTCCGCAACTCGCGGATTTAGCGTGACCAAAAAGGCGCACAGAGCTTTCAAACAAGTTTCTACTAATTCTATATATTTTGCATCTGTTTCTAATTTTTCCTTTGCCATTACTAGCAACCCTGTAATTCTAAATATAATTTCAGATTCTATGATTTCTTCTCTACTACCTTCGTACATTGTCCAAATATTTCTGTAAAAGAAAAATGTAAATTAGTACAAAATATGAAAAGTATCATTAATACACAAAGAACTATTATGTTTGAGTACCTTATAGCTCTAACACCCATTAAATAGGTTTGCATATTTGTATCTAATTGTAAGAGATCAACTAAAGCTTGAATTGCACCAACTTGACACAGAGATCTAGCGTGCCAATTGCATTCTGATAAGTTTCCGATCAGTCTGCAAGCCCGGCATTGTAGAGTATTCCCTAGCTTGATATGTTTTATTATAGAAACTACATGAGCTGCTATTTTAGAACCTCTGACCTTGAATACAATGTTTGACATTACTATCAATCAACACTGTATAACAATGAATGAATAATATTTCTTAAAAAATGATGCAGTCGATGAACCTTATAGAGAAATTTTAATAGAGTACGAACAAAAGTGAACTTATACCTTTTGTCTTGCATCCGAAGTCATACATGCATTTGCAAGAATACTTAAGGTCATGTTTAATATCTTCAAATTATGAAAACGCAGTAAATTTACTAAAATACCCAGTCCTCCATCTTTAGCAAATTGCTTATAGCATTTTGGTTCGTTTTTGATCCTCTCCAAACACAACGAAATTCCACCTTTGGATTCTGATTTTAAATGTTTCAATAATTCCTTCAGTATCGGACATTCTCGTTTCTCATCTATAGTTGACATTTTTTTAAATAAATAGGAAAATTAGCAAAAATTCGTGAGTTTTTTAGACGAAGGTTATGCGCAAGCGCGATAAACGAATGATGCGCATGTGCAGTGTTTGAAGCGCCACGCTGCGCCAGTAAAGTATCTAATCCGTTCGTGAAACTGGCGTCATTAGTTGCCCCCCATAAAATACACGCTTTTGACATCCCTGCACCAACACCTGTACAGTAACTTACAAAAGTAAGTTGTAAAAAGAAATAGTTTAATTTACTACTTTTTCTAATCGGAATATATTTTACTGTTTATTATGTAACATATCCTACAACAGTCTATAGTGTATATCCATAAATATATGAATATTCTTAATTACTTATTTTGTACAATAACTCGTTTAAATATCCCGCTGTTGCGTTTAGTATAAACACCTACGCTAGCGCCACAATACTTTGATAGAGTAGCGCAAGTTAGTGTACTGCACACAAAGATCAGGGAATATAATTGAAACAATTGCAGAGCATATTAATGACGCGTGCAAGGTATTTAGTAAGTACAATAATTACTCCTAATCATTGCTAGTATTAATAGCAAGTGTATTTTACACTGCTAGCCATTGCCGTTATGTGTATATCTTATCGTAACAATGGTTTCTATTTGAAACGTAAATAAATATTCTTCGGTACGATTTAAATTAGCAGTGTAATAATACGTGGAAACAAATTGAAAAGAATACGTGTTTCATTTTAAATATAACACGATACATTAGAGTCGATCATGCGGTTTAACAAAGTTTTAATATTCCGAAATCTAACCACAGTTTCAGTATTCTACAATTTCACTCTGTCATCAAGAAATGAAATACTTCTGAACGTTATTAATATATCGTAATTATGAAATATTACGTACAAAAATATCATCGTTCATTATCGTTGCGTTACAGGACAATTTTCTTACGGCAACGCTCGAAATTAATTGTTCGATCTATTCATATCTAATGTTCGAATCGAACGCGAACGAATTCGCATCATCAAGGTGAACATAAATTATATCCTTGCACGAGTAAGAGGCAGTATTTTGTTGCGCGTTTCGCAAGAAACACGAATTTCTATTTTGCGTAAGCACACCGTGAAGAGTATCATCCGTGAAGCGCACCTGCTAACAAAGAGCAATATACACGAACAGAGTGTAGCCAGTACCGACTCTAGGCACAGATTACGTAGGTAGTGACTTGGGGCCCCATTTTTAACATTTTACTGTTGTATATGTTTTATGTACACGTGTTACTTTGAATATCACGGGCCGATCTTTGCATAGGAACCAAAGGGTTAAGGTTTTATTTGACTAAACGACATTTTACATACATCCACCAAAATATTTTAAACTCTCGTCTATCAAAATCGTACGAAATTTTTCTAAATTCGTATTCGCCAACCGAATAAACCTTCCTATATCGACCCGTGGCGTTAAAAGGGTTAACAACAAACGAATCTAATTGTGTAAAATAAACCTTTTATTTCTAGCATATGTAGGGAGGGCGCCATTAGTCGACGCGTGGCATCTGATTTCGTTGAGTCAGCCCTGGCGGTAAGGGCAGTGTCCATGAATACAGTATAGAGTATAGCAGAGGCGTCAAAATGATAGGAGAGGGCATGGGGATCGGATCGTGAGCTACGCAGGAGTGCGCAGGAGATGTCGACAAGATGACAGCGACCGTGTGACGCTCTTTACATTCATTCTTGGCTAAAGGTTACCTGTCCGTGTACCAGGAAAGAGAATTGTTCCTGGCTAAAAAGACCAACTTATGACTCGTTACGGTGGCACGGGCGTCTCAGTGGATTTTCTGCCTCGAAACGAGATTGTAATCGGGCGAATTCGGGTGAGAACCGCAACCGCCGCGCCCGTGCAATGTACACAGCGGCCTGAATCGTATCTGAAATCATCATCGTCCCCGAGGAGTCGATCCCTTCAACGGCCTGGAGTGGAGTAATGAGCGTTTTCGGAGATTTCCAGCGTGTCTGGGTACAAAGATTCCCGGACAGCGCCTTGCCGGCAGCCTGGGAAGAGGACGTTAGGGCCAACCTAGTCAAGCATAAACAGAAGGTAAAATAGTTAACAGTTCAGAATCCGAAATCATAGTCTCCTCTAGACTTGACCAAACAGGAGATTCAATGAGCTGTGTTCAAGCTAAATTTTCCGTATATCTTTTACAAAGTCACCAAAGGTATACATCCCTGACACAGTAGAGTATCCTATCATACGATCCTCTGTGTTTTGATTTTCATTATTATAGCACGCATTATATTGTAATCTGTTATTTATTACTTCCTATTGGAATATGGAACAGATATTTATCAAACTTCAACTTAAAGTCATGAATCATCTTGATATTTTTAGTTGACTATTTATTCTTTCTAAGAAATTGATTGTATCACAGTTTCCTTGTTCAAAAATTCATTTGGAAATCCTCTTCCATGAAGTATGCATAACAGAGTTTTAGTTCTTTCCTGCTGAAACATTTCTTCTTTCCAAGGCAATGGGAGCCTTATTTCATGAGTCATCATATTAATTTCTGAGTTAATTTAGAAATTAACTTAGTTTATAGTTGTATATAGGTAATAATTTCATAAGCATACTTTTTCTATTTTTGGTAAAAATTGAGCTTAAAATCTTTGTCATAATATTTTGCAACAAATTGTGTTATTATAAACTAAAAAGATATGTTTATGTATTACATTGATATAGCCATTGAATGTTATTTTTTTTTTACAGGTAACAGCTTTGAGAGAAGAGCTTGAAAAGGAAGAGTTCTATGTTGAATATTTAGAAAGATTGTTAGCCGACGTTGAACGCCATAAACAATTGGCGAACAGTAACGCCGCGACGAGTCCCGAAAAACAGCAGCTTGCAGAATTTCAAAGTCAACACGCTTGTAGAACAGTAGAAAACAGTTTCCTTGATTCTACTAATGCGTCGTATGGTCAACACGTGGAACCGTCGGCTCCACCTCTTCCTGTACGCGAAGATATAAGTAAATTTCAGGACAAATGTGTTTCCGAGTTGAGTTCTACTCTTAATACGAGTAAAAGACCCAAAAGTGAGATACCGAGAAGTCCTGATAAAGTGCCTGAACTTAGAAGGAACAGCGACCCAGATGTGCCGAGTAATTATGTCACTGTAATCGAGGTGACAGGGAGCTCAAAGAAAGAGAAAAATGAAGAGTCTCTCAAAGAGGAGGATGAGAAAGGTGTTGTATTCGTTATGTGATATTTCTATAATTAAATTCAACTTCATTTATGCTTGTACTTAATCGACAGATTTGGAAAATGCGATTAACGAAGATGGAGAAGATGGCGATGCGGAGGCATCGGAGGAAGAACCTTATTACGATTCCGTAGCTTTAGATCAAACAGGAGAATATGTATATATCGACGCGCGTGTCCCACCTGTTGGAAACAGTAATGGCAATAGACCGCCACCAAGAAGACCACCTTCCCTTCCAGATTCCCCAGGGAACCAGAGTAACTATGTCAACATCGATTATTTTATACAGTAAGATAAAAATTCGTTTCGAATATTTTGCGTTTATATTTTTGGTACATATAACTGATATTTCTAGGCACAAAGCAGCAATGGATAGCGAAGACGAAGAAGGTGCAAGTCCTGCGCCACCGATTTTACTGCGCGCTCTTAGTACCGATAATGAAACGGGTAGTAGCGACGCGGAACCTTTAAGTTTAAGCGAAGGTAGCTTAGAATCACCGACGCCAACTACACCGCGCCGACAAGAGAAAAATAAAGACCGTGAGGACGATAGAACGTCTATGATTAAATGTATTGTAAACTCGGTAGTAGAAAGTGAAACTATATATGTCGAATGTCTAAACGTTATGTTACAAGTATGTAGTCTATCTTTCGATTTAAACGACATATAACAAATATAATATGTTATCGTTTCTAATAAAGATATTTACTTTCAGTACATGAAAGCTATCAGAGCAACACTGACCACATCTCAGCCCGTTATTTCTGAAGATGAGTTTGGCACAATATTTTACAAAATTCGCGAGTTGCACGCCATGCATCAAACATTTTTAGATGGTCTTCGGAAAAAATTGGAGAAATGGGATAGTAAAACCGCTATAGGTGAACAGTTTAAAGTAAGAATTGAAAGTATATCGATATGAGGAGTAGATAATTTATCATACCTTCCTATCTATGCTATAATTTCGTTAATTGTAGGTGATGGCCAGCAATATCGGAATATATGGAGCCTTTTTACATAATTACGCTCGCGCTACCGATACAGTGCGAAGATGTTCCGCTCATTCTAATCAGTTTGGTGACATTACAAGGGATATAAGACTCAGAGGATTTCCCAAAGGTCCAGGTTTATCTCTTGAAGATCTTTTACATAAGCCCGTAGCGCGAGTACAGAAAAACGCCCTAGTATTACATGTAAGTACCTGTTCATATAAAGCCTTTAAATGATTGTTATCTAGAAATATATAAACAGATGTATAGTACTGTTAAGCGGTTGATAAAATTATGTGGAAATGTACTAACATTATCTTATCTCAGAGTTCGCGACGATAAATTTTATTCACTTGATTGTAGGATCTCCTCAAGCATACACCTGTGAATCATGCAGATCATGTACCACTTTCAGAAGCTCTTGCTATGACCAGAAACTTTCTAGACGAATTCAATATCATTCAAACAAAATCGATGTTTCCGGTGAGGATAAGTGTTAGAATATTGACAATTCGTGTAACTTAATTGTGACATGTATAAAAGAAAATCAGTTTTTTCAGAGTCATGATAGAGCGCAACGAAGATTAGTGAAAAACTCGTTTGTGGTAGAGTTATCTGATGGTCATAGAAAGTTAAGACATTTATTCCTCTTCAATGACGTAATCGCTTGTGCAAAATATAAAGCTTCTGGCAGGGACAAGTTCACATTTGAGTTAAAGTGGTACGTACCGGTGGCAGAAGCGCTAGTGACAGAAGACGGTGTCGAACCACGCGAAACTAGTCCAGCTAACGTTGTAGCTCTAAGGTACGTATTGTCATATATATATATGTATGTATATA